GGATAGCCTTATGCCTATCCCACGCATGCTTAAACTACTTTACTGTGTTAACCTCTACCACTTCAGCCAGAAGGCTATGCATCCACTACCCTCTCGGTAAAGTAATACTTCCTGATATTTTTAAACCTTTGCCCCTCTAATTTAAGACTGTGTCCTCTTGTTGTGGTTTTTTTCTTTTAAATAGTCACCTCCTTTACTGTGTTGATTCACTTTCTTTCCTCCAAGCTATACATGTTAAGATCCTTTAACCTTTCCTGGTAAGTTTTATGCAATCCATGAACCAGTTTTGTAACCCTCCTCTGACATCTCTCTAAAGTATCAATATCCTTCTGGAGATACAGTAAAATTGTTTTTAAATTAAAGTATTTTGAAAATTTATATTTTATATACACATAAAACATTTATAAAAGTGTGTTTTAATAATCTATATAATCAATAAATTGAAACAAAAATTTCAAAACTTACTGGTTTACATTTGTTCTAACTGTATTTTGATATTAATATACATATATTTAAATTAAAATACATTTAGAATGACGTTATAAATACATATCCCCTTAATGACCGTGGACATACTTGGTACTTCTGACAAAAAAAAGGTCGTTAAGGACCGCGGCAAATAGGAGTTCTGGACCGGCGATCACGGTCGGTGGGGTCTGCCGGAGACCCCTGCAGCAGCTCTAGGCCTCAAGGGCCATGTGATCGCCGCTGCAATAGGAGTCTTTGGAGCTGCCAGCAGGGGGACTGTCTGAGCTGTCAGGTAGTCCCTCAGGCTGCTAAAAAGTAAGGAAAAATAATATACATATAGTATACACTGCCTGGCCGGAAAAAAGTCACCACCTGGATTTAACTAAGCAAATGGGTAAGAGCCTCCTATTGGATAGTTACTGCATAGACAATTACTTTTCAACTGGCAGTAAGTGATTTAACCCCAACTGATGCAATGAGTAGGTTCTCATTTTTTAAAATATGTCCAAAGATATCTCGTGGTCGTGGAAAAGATGTTGGTCTGTTTGAGAAGGGTCAAATCATTGGCATGCATCAAGCAGAAATGTGTATTAAAAAAATCTGAGGCGCTTTCCCTGGTGGGGGCCGGAGGGGACAATTGGTGTGTGTCCCCCCGCCCCCCATTTTTATTTAGGGCCCCCACCCACTGCTCAGGGGGGAGGACAATAGGTTCCCCACCCCCATCTGCCGCAGAATTTATTAATACTAAGTAATCTTTACTTAGTATTTGTAAGTTTGGCTGAAAGACCAATTTAGGTCTTTCAGCCTTTTGGTAGATAGCTCCCTAATTCACACAGTATTAGGGAGCTATCAAGCGGCTGCAAGATGCAGCCATGGCACGAATTGGATCGGAGTTTCATTCATTAGAATGAAATTCCGATCCGAACAAAGTCCCGAATTGCGTCCTAACACGAATGGAGAAACTGTTCTTATTCTGTTAGACGGAACGTTTGCGAAACTACCGAATTGCGTCCTAAGTGACAGGACGTTCGGAAGTACTGACAGGAAGCTTTGCAAGATCACAGATCAAAGGTGAGAATTGTGGGAAAAATTTCTCTGACCACCGGAAATGCAGCACACTTTGCTCCTCCGTAAGACAAAGTAGACCCTAATTTGTCTAATTTTTTAAAGAAAATTAGAGCAGACAGGAAGAAATGAGAGGGAGAGGAATTGGGAAAGGTAAGTTTGGCATGACAGTGCTGCTTTAAACTGTTTTTTATTTATTAGCAGTAGGTATTTAGTGTAAATGTGAGAGCACATTTGAAAATAACAGCAAGACGGTGAATTTAGAAGATAGGGCTGGAAGCAACTTGCACTTTGGGAGGGTGACAAAGGGATGAGACACTATATTTCTGAGACGCTATAATTCTAAAACCACCACTTTCTCATAGGAAAGCATTGGATTGACTACTGATCTCGGCCAAGGAGACGGGGTAGTCTGCAACACAGCCCTGACCAATCAGCATCTTCTCATAGAGATGCATTGAATCAATGTATCTCTATGAGGAAAGTTCACTGTCTCTATGCACACTGTGCAAACACTGACACAGGAAGCACCTCTAGTGGTTGTCTGAGGAGTGGCCACTAGAGGTGTTCCTAGCCTGCAATGTAAACACTGCATTTTCTCTGGAAATACAGTATTTACGGCAAAAAAACCTGCAGGGACAGACTATGCTCACCAGAACAACTATTAAGCTGTATACTATACATTAAGCTGTGGTTGTTCTGGTGACCATAGTGTACATTTATTGCTTGAAGAAAGGAGAGAGAAGTCAATGGAGAGACAGAGTTTCAAGCAGTGGTAATTCAGGAGAGACAAACATGCAATCCCTGTACAGCAAGAAATGGGATCAAGTAGAAGTCACCAGGCTGCAAAGTGAGGAATATCTACTGAAAACATAAAGGGTCTCTGTAATGTTCAGACAGAGGTGGAGCCACAAACCCCTAATTGTGTATTAAAGATCACAGTGAAATAGATTCTGTGGTTTGATTTACACTCGGGGGGAGGGGCAAGCTCAGAACAGAGGAGGTATGTAATGATGATAAAAATTCACAAAAAGTACAACTAACTCATAATAATATTAAAGGATCACTATAGTGTCAGGAAAGCGGTTTTCCTGACACTATAGTGCCCTGAGGGTGCCCACACTCCCCCGCTGACGTCAGCTCCCAATGCCGACGTCAGCGGATCCGCATATTCAAAGTGTCCATAGGAAAGCATTTCTCAATTATTTCCTATGGACGCTCTGCATGATGGAGGCATAATATGCCTCCAGCGTGGCAGATGCGCCTCTAGTGGTTGTCCGGAAGACAGCCACTAGAGGCTGGCTTAAAGGACCACTATAGTGCCAGGAAAACATACTCGTTTTCCTGGCACTATAGTGCCCTGAGGGTGCCCCCACCCTCAGGGACCCCCTCCCGCCCGGCTGGGGAAAGGGGTAAAAACTTACCTTTTTCCAGCGCTGGGCGGAGAGCTCTCCTCCTCCTCTCCGCCCCGCCGGCTGAATGCGCGCACGCGCGGCAAGAGCTGCGTGCGCATTCAGCCCGTCGCATAGGAAAGCATTTACAATGCTTTCCTATGGACGCTGGCGTGCTCTCACTGTGAGAATCACAGTGAGAATCACGCAAGCGCCTCTAGTGGCTGTCAATGAGACAGCCACTAGAGGATTAGGGGGAAGGCTTAACCCATTCATAATTATAGCAGTTTCTCTGAAACTGCTATAATTATGAAAAAATGGGTTAACCCTAGAAGGACCTGGCACCCAGACCACTTCATTAAGCTGAAGTGGTCTGGGTGCCTAGAGTGGTCCTTTAAAGGACCACTATAGTGCCAGGAAACATTGCACCCAGACCACTGGACCACAAATCTGGTCTGGGTGACTACAGTGTCCCTTTAAATGTATGCTTACTAATGCAAGGAGACTAAATAACAAAATGGGGGAATTAGAGGCAGTAGCATATACTAAACAATATGATATAATAGGCATAACTGAAACATGGTGAGATGAGACACATGACTGGGCAGTTAACTTAAATGGGTACACGTTATTTAGGAAGGATAGGAAAAACAAGAAGGGTGGTGGGGTATGTTTGTATGTCAACCATGAGTTAAAGCCAAGTATTAAGTATGTGGAGTGTGACGAGGAAAATGTGAAAGCTTTATGGTAAATATCTGCTTGGGGCAAACCAAGGGAAATCAATTATTGGTTGGGATATGTTATAAACCACCTAATGTTAATATTAATGAGGAAGAACAGCTGTTAGAGCAAATTGGGAAAGCTGCACATCTGGGTAACACGTTAATTATTGGAGATTTTAATTACCCAGACATAAATTGGGACAGAGGGACTAGTACTTCAGCAAGGAGAATCAGGTTTTTGAACTTGTTAAATGACACCTTCATGTCACAACTTGTACAAGCACCAACTAGAATGGACGCTTGTCTGTACCTGGTTCTAACAAACAACGTTGATCTTTTGACCAACATTCAAGTAGGTGAGTACTTGGGAAATAGTGATCACAATATGGTGTCCTTTGAAATAAACTGAAAAAAACAAAAGCACATGGGGTATACTAAAACATATAATTTAAAAAGGCCAGTTTCTATCAGTTAAGGACAGCTTTACAATATATTGACTGGCATAAACTCTTTAGTGAAAAAAAACACTGAGGATAAATGGAACATCTTCCAACAAATATTAGAAAGGTATATTTCTCAGTATGTACCATTGGGTAATAAATATAAAAACAAAGAGAACGTTACCTGCACTCTGGCCTAAATCCCTATGTATATTTAAACAAAATGGAGGCTCTTTAGTTTTATTCCAATGGCCATTTGAATATAAGCTCACCTGCCACGTCAAGGCAAGCCCCAAAAGGTGAGTCCTACTCTAGCCATTAGATTTGCTGATATCAGCCAAGAATCTCCAATGAGACAGGAAAGGGTTTATAAAATACCCCTTACTGTCTCACTGGAGATTCTTGGCTGATATCAGCATATCTAATGGCTAGTGTAGGACTCACCTTTTGAGGCTTGCCTTGACGCGGCAGGTGAGCTTATATTGGATAAATCATCAGACATCCTATAAAAGATATAAGGAAGCCAGTAATGCGTGCAAAGCAGTGATTAGATTCGCTAAACTCCAAAATGAAAAAATGATAGCTAAAGAGAGCAAAACCAACCCCAGAGCATTTTTTAAGTACATAAATTCTAAAAAAAAAAAATGAAAGTTTAGGTACACTAAAAACTGAAACGGGGGTGTTAGTTATTGAAGATCAGGAAAAGGCAGAAATGTTAAATTACTATTTCTCCTCCGTATATATTAAGGAAGAACCTCTGACAATAGATATGCAAATGATTGCTGTTAAAAACTTGCAGAAAAATTGTAATTGGTTAACTCAAGACAAGGTGCTGCTGAAACTAAAGAACTTTATATAAACAAAGCTTCAGGGCCTGACGGTGTTCATCCATGAGTACTTAAGGAACTAAGTGTAGAAATAAGTGAACCTCGGTTTTTAATCTTTTAAGATTCTTTTATTTCAGGAAGTGTTCTGGAGGCAGGCAGGTGTGGTTCCTATATTCAAAAAGGGTTCAAAATCCTTGCTTGGAAATTATAGACCTGTGAGCTTAACTTCTGTGGCTGGAAAAGTATTTGAAAGGTTATTAAGGGATAATATTAAGAATTCCTTGAGAAGAACATGGTTATCAGCAAAAATCAGCATGGTTTTATGAAACACAGGTCATGTCAAACTGACTAGATTGCATTCTACAAATAAGTAAGTAGAAGTATAGATCAAGGTGTTGCAGTGGATGTGATCTATTTGGATTTTGCCAAGGCATTTGATACGGTTCCTCACAATAGATTAGTGTTCAAACTCAAAGAAATCGGTCTAGATGAAAAATATTGTTCTTGGGTAGAACATTGGCTTAAAAATAGAGTACAAAGAGTTGTCATTAATAGTAAATTTTCAAGCTGGACAGAGGTGGCAAGTGGTCTCCCTCAGGGTTCTGTTCTGGGACCCCTTCTATTTAACATGTTTATAAATGATCTTTAAAAAAGCATTGAAAGTCATGTTTTGGTGTTTGCAGATGACACAAAACTCTGTAAAGTAATACAATGAGAGCAAGATATTACTTCGCTGCAGAGGGATTTAGATAGACTGGGGGACTGGGCACTCAAATGGCAGTTGAAATTTAATGTTGAAAAATGCAAATTTATGCACATCGGTGTACAGAATGCACAAGCAACGTATACCCTTAATGGAAGTGAATTAGAGATAACAACACACGAATAGGAATTGTTATAGACAACAAATTATGAAAGAATGTGCAATGTCAATCAGCAGTGGCTAAGGCCTGTAAAGTATTGTCATGCATGAAAAAGGGCATTCATTCTCGGGATGAGAATATCATTTTGCCTCTTTATAAATCACTGGTTAGACCACATCTTGAATATGCTGTGCAATTTTGGGCACCTGTTCTTAAGAAGGATATTATGGCACTAGAAAAAGTGCAGAGGCAGGCTACAAAATTAATAAAAGGAATGGAACATATCAGCTATGAAGAAAGGGTAACAAATTTAAACCTCTTTAGTTTAGAAAAACATTGCCTCAGAGGGGATATGATAACATTATACAAATTTATCCGGGGGGGCCAATACAAACCATTGTGTGAAAATCTATTCGCAAACCAGACTTTACATATGACACAAGGTCATGCGTTTAGACTGGAAGAAAGAAGATTTCGTCTAAGGCAAAGAAAAGGTTTTTCTACTTTAAGAACTATAAGGATGTGGAATTCTCTGCCTGAAGACGTGGTTTTATCAGAGTCCATACATATGTTCAAACAGCAACTAGATGCATACTAGCAAAAACAGAATTGTGGCAAAAGTAACCTCGCCACTGGCTTTTGTGGAGCCTGTTTGCCGGCCTCCTGGCCTGTAACTATGGCCCCTGTAATAGACTTTGGTTAAAGACACAGTTTGTGCCTTTTAGACTTGTATGGTTACAATTTGAACTCTCAAAGTGGCACTTCGAACTCCCGAAGCGGTTCAAAGTGGCCGGCTGGCAATCGAACACGTGGCGGCGGCCATCTTAAGCCGCGAGCACAATGAGCGGTGTTTGGTCGTCGAGTACATGGAACTCAAATCTGACACTCGACAGCACGAACACCGCTAACCACATACCTTCCACTGATGTTTGGCTATTCGAATGAGAATCGAACAGCGTTCAGTAAGAATAAACTCCCGAACGAGAGACATAAACTGAGACTACTCCCGAAGCTATATGTTTGGTATTTTATATGCTACTTTGAATCCCTGAAGTAGACTGAGCACACAGCCTGATTCTCTGGAACTGTTTTGGGCATGGGACCATGCGTGCGGTCGGTCAAAATGTGACTTCCAGGAAATTCCTGTAACCCTGAACTGATCTGGGTGATTTTTGGATATGTTGGTCACCCGGATCAAGTCTAACACAGGATGTAACAATTGTGGGGTTTTCATGCGTTTTTGGGGTTTTTCATAAAAATGTGTGTTTTTCTGCCTGGAGATAATTGAGTTAATACAATATCTGACTCGATTATCTCCCAGGCAGAGGGGAGGTATTGTATGTTTGTATATGGGAGTGTCATGCATTTAAACATTGTTGTTATTGGTCTGTGACTTTATAACGTAGTTCCCCACAAGGTCCATGTGGGAGTACGCCTTGCACGGGGACTTGCATAAAAGGCCAGTGTGGCTACCAATAAATCAGTTCACGTCACCTTCAACACGCAGCCTTGTCTTGTGATTGTAGGGAACAGCTATACAGGCTATATAACCACTAGCTCTTATAAGAGCTTCACAGCTATACTCTCTTGGAGGAGGGGCATTCCCACTGGGTGCTGGATCCAAGAGGTTGGTCCAGGGTGGGAAGGCACGGTGAGACCCCAACCAAGCTACGGCAGCGAAGGGGCTACGGTGCTTATGGTGTCCAGTGCGGTGATTATGGTACTCAGCTCAGAAGCATCGATTGGTGGAGGCAACCAGTCGGGTTGCCAGTCGGTCCATCACAAGAATATTCAAGGATATAATTTTTCAATAATAGGAAAAAACAAACACAACAAAAATAAAATACTTATCAGTAAAAATAAAATACTTATCAGTAAAAAGGAAAACAGCTTACCACTGAACACCTCCCAAGTAGTGTTACGTCTGAACAAGCCAAGAAATACAATATGTGTGGGATTCAGCTGATGAAAAAAAAATCAAATGAAATAAAACAGCATAATACAGTTTTAGAAATGTAATATTTCCTGCTATAGATTGCACTCACAGGATGTTGTAAGTATATGGGCTCTATTGGTGCCTCCCCCGATGTTTTGGGGGGCTAGTATCTACCTCTTAGGATCAAGTATCACCCGGGATTAGGAACCATTCAGGACTCCGACGGGTAGATAGGTAAAAAGGAGGTTTATTGGTATAAAACGAATCCTTTTTATACTTTTTATACCAATAAACCTCCTACCTGTCGGGGTCCTGAATGGTTCCTGATACCGGGTGATACTTGGTCCTAAGAGGGAGATACTAGCCCCCCAAAACATCGGGGGAGGCACCAATAGAGCGCATATACTTTCAACATCCTGTGAGTGCAATCTATAGCAGGAAATATTACATTTCTAAAACTGTATTATGCTGTGTTTTACAATTTTTCCATGTAGGGTAATAGCTTCTTGATCCAAGGATTAATATGACTGCTATTTTGGGGTCAAGAAGGAAGGTTTTTCCTAATTTGTTGCAAAATTGGAAGTGCTTCAAACTGGGTTTTTGTTGCCTTCTTTTGGATCAACAGCAAAAAACAAATGTGAGGAAGGCTGAGCTTGATGGACGCAAGTCTCTTTTCAGCTATGTAGCTATGTAACTCCCACAGTTACTCAGTTTGTACAAAATATGAAATTAAAAAAATAATAAATATAAAATGTCTTATTTGCGGGGTATTTTATTACCATATAAATAATATATATATATAATGTTTTATTTGCAGGGTGTTTTATTACTATATATATATATATATATATATAAATAATAGTTATATACAGTATATAATAAATCCATTGGTAAGTCTGACTTTGTAAACCAATAAACACCAATTTAAAGCCATGTTATTTAATCAGACAAGAAATGTCCCTTTAATTCTGGCTGTGTACCCACACTGAGCCCTGGCAGCTCACTTCCGCCCGCAGTATCTGTACTACGTCATATCCGGAATCAAACTGGCTGCCGTGGGAGTCACCCAGGCTCAGGATCTCGCGCGATTTGGCCGCTATATAAAGCCGTCCCCTGGTCGTTCTCTCTCTTTCAGTTCCGGGGTTTCTAGCAATCCGAGTCCATCCTCATGGTTCCTACGATGGAGCTCGGTGTACGGCCGGTATTACGTGGAGGGGGGGACCCAGCAATGCCTGCCTGCCGGTATTACATGGAGGGGTGACCCAGCAATGCCTGCCTGCCGGTATTACATGGAGGGGTGACCCTCTAGTAGGACCAGGGTCTCTGCTGTCCATCATGGAGGAAACCTGGGCTCACATGGCCGGTTGACCCCCTGGTAGCAGTAGGTCTGCTATCCATCATGGAGGAAACCTGGGCTCACATGGCTGGTTGACCCCCTGGTAGCAGTAGGTCTGCTGTCCATCATGGAGGGAGCCTGGGCTTACATGGCTGGTTGACCCCCTGGTAGCAGTAGGTCTGCTGTCCATCATGGAGGGAGCCTGGGCTCACATTGCTGGGTGACCCCCTGGTAGCAGTAGGTCTGCTGTCCATCATGGAGGGAGCCTGGGCTCACATGGCTGGGTGACCCCTTTGGTGGTAGCTGTGGCTGAATGACCATTTAGGAGTTGGGTCTCTGCTGTCCATTATGGAAGGAGTCATGGATCAGGTGAGGATCTTCTGTTATTACTGTCTTCCCTGCTTGACTGAGTATAGATGATGAAGCTCTTTATTTTGCTGCTAAAATGCTGAATAACCTCTGTAGATACAACCTTGGAGAACTGAATACTCCTAGTTCCATGCATTATGGGCTTCTGGTCCCATGTTCAATGGCTAACTGCTCTCATTATTTTCTCTTCCAGGTCCAGCGCTGCTTGTTCTCTCATGTGCCAGTAAGGTGAGTGCTGTCCTGAAGACCTTACAAATCATGTCAATTCATTTATAATCTTATATGATCTGCCATGACTTCATATTCCTGTGAAGTCTAACCCTTTCCAAGTCACATGGTATGAGCTTCTTATGATGATAACTATTGTCCAGTTCTGCTACTGATTGTAAAGAGATGAAAATGGCTTTCTGAGGAAGACCTACACCGTGACTTATTCATATTAGTTTTGTATTTAGTTTTTTCAATCCAGCCCAGAGTCTCATTGTACTATGAACTTGAACTGGTTCTCCAATCTCCTGAGCTCTAGCTGCCTTTAGTCATCCGTCTTCTTGTTGGTTAATATCCCTATGTAATCACTGGATTACACTCGGTGGTCTCATGGGTTTTGACCACTATATAAAGACGTCCCCTGGTTGGTTCCGGGGTTTCAAGCAGAGTCCATCCTCATGGTCCCTACCATTGAGCTTGGTATTTGGCTGGCATTACATGGAAGGGTTACCCCCTGGTAGCAGTGCAGTCTCTGTCTATCATGGAGGGAGCCAGGGCTCACATGGCTGGGTGAGCCCTTGGTGGTAGCTGAGGCTGGCCATTTAGGAGCAGGGTCTCCGCTGTCCATCATGGAGGGAGTCTGGGATCAGATTAGAATCTCCTGTTATTGCTAACTGTTTTCCCTACTTGACAGAGTATAGATAATAAAGCTTTTTCTGCAAAAAGCTGAATTTCCCCTGTAGATACAACCGTGGAGAACTGAATACTCCTAGCTTCATGCATTAAGGGCTTCTGGTCCCATGTTCAATTGCTAATTGCTCTCACTATTTCCTCCTCCAGGTCCAGTGCTGCTTGTTCTCTCCTGTGCCAGTAAGGTGAGTGCTGTCCTGAAGAGCTAACAATTCATGCCAATTCCCCTATAATCAATCTGATCTGGCATGACCTCATGTTCCTGTGCAGTCTAACCCTCTCCAAGTCACATGGTCTGAGCTTCTTATGATGATAACTATTGTCCAGTTCTGCTACTGATTGTAAAGAGATGAATATGGCTTTCTGAGGAAGATTTACACCGTGACTTATTCATTAATCGTTTTGTATTGACTAGTTTTTTCAGTAACTAGGAATCCAGCCCTGAGTCTTTGTACTGGTGCTCTAGCTGCCTTTAGTCATCTGTCCTCTTATGTTAATATCCCTATGTAATCACTGCATTAAATGCTCACAGGACATACCTGGGTAGATGCCTTTTAGGAAATACTTAATTCAAACTGTGCATGAAAACTGTATTCTCCCCTGTTCCTCATCCTATCACTGATAAAATAATTCCTGTTCACTTTTTTTTTTTTAATTGACCGAAAATGTTGCACTTTATAACAAACAGTATATCATTCTATTACAGAGCTCTTGCTTGCGCTAGGCCCAGCTGCTGTGGAGATGTCATTCGCTGCACCATGGGAAAGGTAAATGGAAATTGCCCATTCTCTCATGTTGGTGTGAAGTCGATTGACTTCTTGGCACTCACGCCTATGTCTTCTAATGATGATACCTTTGTCCAGTTCTGCTACTGAAGTTCAGCGATGAGACTTGCCTATCTGAAGAAGACTTTATAGCAGGGCTACCAAAAGGTAGATCCCTGGATATTCTAAAGCTACAGCTCCCATGATGCTTTAAAATGACAATGCATCATGGGAGCTGTAGTCTTCAAACCTCGTGAGATCTACCATTTGGGCACTCCTGCTCTATAGTTTACATGTTGCATTGCTTAAAAAATGTCAATTTTAATACTTTGTTTTTTTCGTTGTAGGTTGTCTGCCTGGAGTCTGATGCCCAAGCCATTACTCACTCCTGTATATGAATAAAATAAAATATTCACTGTCTCCTGGTTTCTGCTTCTCTCTTATCCACACACTGTACACCAGTACTGCTAGCTAGTATGTCTCCACCCTAAGATCCCATGATAAATGCAATGTTTGCACTGATAAAATGTCTCCTTAGTCTTTTTGGCTTTGGGGGTCTATGTTCGGTGCCAGAGTAAAATCCCTTCGAGCAGAAAGGCCAGGTTCTATGGTGACCTGTCCCTTCCGATAGTTGGGTACACAGTGACTGACTCTATGCCAAGGGAAAGTTTAGCAAAGAATAATGTAATCGTGTGCCGAATGAAAATTCCTTTAATCTACACTTGAAAGCTTTGATCTGTCTGGTCTCTACATGGTGGATCAATGCATTTTGGCCAAGGTTAACTAGAATTAGGTTTTCCTAGGAGGTAAGAACTTGCTCACAAGTTTGTTGTAGGCAGGGGTCTCCAATAGTTTCTGCAAGTTGTTTACATGGATAACCCCCACTGCATTTAAATTAAAACCTATAATTCTTAAAGGGGAGAATTTTTTTATTTATTTTTTTATTGGGGAAATGTACTGTTTAGTTTACCTGAATCCTCTAACATTTTCTGTTATTTGTATAAATCTCTGTGACAGAAAACAGTTGTCTCCCCCCCCTGTGATTTTTTTTTTTTTAATTTGATATATTTTTTTTTTTGTAAACACCAAAATAAGTCCTGCTGGCTCTTGTAATCGTCCGATGACTAACTCCAGACCTCTAAAGCACCTTGCTAAGCTGGAGTGTTTCTTTAAACAGCCTAGAGCAGGTATAGGCAATCTTTGTCACTCAATGTTTTGGACTACATCTCCCATGATGCCTGGGCAGCAGTGTGGTAGATGTAATACACAACATCTGGATGTGCTGAAGTTTATCTTCCCCCTGCTAGAGGGAAGGGGACCACCAGCTTAGGTAGAGGAAGCCGTAGCGTTACTACGGTGAAAGATTGGCAACCCAGGTGATGGCTGTGAGTTCAGAGAAGTTTTAGACTGTGAGTCTTCAGCTCTGTGCTCTAGATTAGCCAACAACTTCCTTGAAAACGTAAACATGGCATAGTTAAAAATGATCCAGGCTTCAGGTTTAGCTGTGGGAAGGGGACTCAATGTTGGGGACTCTGTATATCACTACCGCTACATTCTACTCCTCACACCATCTGTTGTGAACGAACATCAATTTACTAGTTTTCAAAAGTAGCACTGAGAGAGGAAAAAAATTGGACAGGCATGTATACTTAAAGATTGTATGGTTTCCTGGTGTAATACCTCCATACATATCTATACATGGCTGTAAGCAGATCTGTATGTTTTAATTGGTGACATTGGTTTTTCCGTTCTTGCTATAAAGCTCATTGAATATTCGTGTGGGCTTCTGTTACCATGTAAAAACTAGTTTGTGTATACAGTAACTAGTCAAATTGGTGTAATAACACTTTCATCAAATATCAGAGAACTAATAGAATGTATAAACAAACGGCTTGTTAAAAAGATACACGTTTGTCTATCTACGTGCGTCCTGCTGTATGCCATATGTGCACTTTGTATCAGTATAGCCCAATGCTAATTCCCTCTATTGTTTGGGATATTTTCTTGTCTGTTATTTGTGCCCATGTTGATGAGCTGTATGGAGGAGACTATAAGCAGCAGTGGAACCTGGATGACCCAGGTATGTCTGTCAAACTGTTTACTAGCACTGGGCTGTAGTTATTTTGGTACTTTGTGTCATTAATTAAATGCTGCTTTCACCTAAACAGAGGTGACCCTGAGCAGCCCTTGTAGATTAAATCTAGCTGGATGGTTTTAAAGGGATATTATAGGCACCCAGACCGTTTTGTGTTATTGAAGTGATCTGTGTACAGTGTCTCTGTACCCTCAGTCCTGCAATGTTAAACACGTTTTATAGAAGCTGCCATGGCTGTCTACTAGAGAGTCATTAACCCCTTAAGGATGGCAGGCGTTCTATGCCATCCTTAAGGGTCTGGCTCTAAACGGCGTCATAGAACATTCTTGCTGCTCACGTGGCCAGCGCCATTTGCCTGATGCAGATCGTGGTCTCGGGGCATGCCTGGCAACCCAGGCAGTCCCCTGGTGGCCAATGACCGCGATTTGCAGCACGTGATCACAGTGACAGCCAGTCACTGTTACAAAGTGTCAGCCAATGATTTTAAATCACTGGCTGACACTTTCTCTGCACCTCACTTCGTTGCTGATAGCAGCTCTTGTTGAGGAAAAGTTTTAAAACTTTTTAAAAGTAAAAAAGTGTTTTTTTTTTTGTTTTTTTTTAACCCTTTCAGTGCTGATCACAACATTAACACTGTGATCAGCCTGATTAGGGCTTTTAGTACTCTTGTACTATATTATTATTTTTGGGGGGGTAAAAAAAAAAACCTTTAAAAAAAAAATGTTTTGACCCTTTGTGTCAGTTGCAGCAACCCAAATCTCCCTTAACCCCTTCCCTGCTGCTGTGATCAGAGGGCTCTCTGATCAGGCTGACTTTTTTTTTTAGTTTTATTTTTATAAAATAAAAATTACTTTCAGTACTGATCGCAGCTGACTAAACTGTGATCAGTGCATTTATTTTATTTTTTGAGGGTGGGTAGTGGGTGTTAGGCAGGTACATAATAGGTAATTACCACCTTAGTTTTTTATTAGTTAATTTTTCCCCTTTGAATGGCACATTGCTATTCTGCAGAGGAGGCTATGCCATTCTGGCAGGCAGTGATAGTTACACTCTGCAAGACAGTGACACTGTCTGGGGTCCCAGACAAAAATATTTCAATATGGCGTTAAATTTTATAAATTATGCAACTGCAGTACTGCTTACACATGGGCGTTTCGCATTTACCAGGGGAAGGATGGCTATCTTGATCCACCAGGATGCCATGATCCTGTGGGTATAAGTGACAAGATTGTTTGGGATCTAATCCATCCCTTGTTAAATAAGGGATACAGGCTATGGGTTGACAATTACTATATCAGTATAGAATTGTTTAAAAATTTATATTGCTTTGAAACCTTAGCTTGTGGCACAGTGAGGAAGAATTGCAGGGGTTTTCCCCAAACCCTGGCAAGAGGTAGAAGTGGAGTTCCCTCTTCAGCTCTCCGCCAGGATGAGTTGTTTGCCCTTTGCTTCACGGATAGGAAGGATGTATACATGCTGTGGCAAAACTATCCACTTAAGACTGTATTTCCATTCCTGTAATATTGTAGCTTTAAGGCTATCTAAACTGTGCATGTTCCCTTTTCTGTATTTGATGCGAACGAGAGCATTCGTATGCTGGCAACACGGAAGCCACCAGCATTCCTACAGTAGTTTCACGAACAGTGAATTTCAACACTGTTTGTGAAACAAACTACTGAATGGGAGACCACACGTACAGGAGGTTGTGTGGCTCCCATTACGCATCGCAACATTGTATCTTTCGGCAGTTAATAGATGTTCAGGGTGGCCACCGTTCGGATACCGACCATGCGGCTGTCGGCCATCTTGGATCCCTTGTTAGCCCAGCGGTATTTTGTCGTCGAGTGCCTGGAACTGAAATAGACTACTCGACGGCACGAATACCGCTGGACTTCCAGGCCATTCGGGAGCACCGGTCTTTCGGTATTTTATCGCTGCATGTGTATTCGTGACTTTGGTGGAAAATGTGTGTTCAAGTGTACCTAGTGCGGCGTTCGGCTAATTGTGCTGGGATCTGAGCGGTACTTTCACAAAGTATGTGCTCAGACCCCAGCTATCTGCCAAACTGTCATTCGGTATAATAGCACGACTAATGTTAAAGTTATATGTTTTTATGTAAAAAGCCAGTTCTGCTGCACGGAGGGATAATCCACTTAACTGGGTATTCTAGTGGGAGTATCTCTCTCGTACAGCAGTGCATGGTGGGAGAAATGTCCTGGTTGTTAAGTTCCCTATGTAGTCCCCTACTGTACAACTCCTGTAAAGTCTGGTAAGGAAACCCCTTGCATGGGGAACCACATAAATACTGTGACCTGTGATTAAAACCTCAGTTGACTCCCAGCCTATGTGTCGTCTAGTTCTTGGGAAGGAAGGATTTACATAACGCTACCGGGATTATTTTATGCTGTACATGTTTTACCTGGATTATTATATGCTGTTCCTTTCTACCAGCGGAGATACCATGGATTATACTACCTCTCCGCTACACATGCTGTCTACGATGCACAATGAAAGTACAGTGCCACTGTCTGTGAGAGGTAGCACTGAGCATTTGGAAAAGCCAAAGTGCATTGTAGATTACAGCAGGTTTATGGGGGGAGTAGGCTTGGCTGACCAATGCATACAGCCCTATCTGGTAAACTGAAAAACTAGGACCTGGTACAAGAAAATTGCTATCTACGTGAGCCAGATTGCAATTTTCAATGCCTATGCCTCTATAAAAAAAGAGGTCATAGGTAAGCCCTGCCTTTTCTAGAATTCATGCTAAGCCTTTTATCCCATATGTTATTTATTCACCCCCCAATCCCACTTTGGAATCAGGAGAGCTCCAAAGACTTTGTGGCAAACACTTCCCTTCCTGAATCCCACCCACCCCCAGTAAAAAAGTTCCCCAGGAAAGTGCCATGTTTGTTCCAAGAAAGGAGTCTGAAAGGTCTCCAGTTATTATTGCCCAATCTGCCCATCTCTACCCGCCCTCTGCATAGCAGACTGTTTCAAAGTCTACAATACAGAGCTGAAAGGATCGCTGTAGGAATACATGTTTGTGTTCCTGACCCTATAGTGTTCAAACCACCATCTAGCCCTGCATGCCTCCATAAATATAGCAACATCTTACTGTATTCAAGCCTGAATCTGTAACTCTGCATGCTGTTTGCCTAAAAAAAACACGAAGTCTGCTGACATCATCAGAAGTGGTGGTCTGAGCCAATCACAGTGCTTCCCCACAGGATTGGCTGAGACTGACAAAGAGGCAGATCAGGTGCAGAGCCAGCACAAGTCAAACACAGCCCTGGCCAATCAGCATCTCCTCATAGAGATGAATTGAATCAATGTATCTCTGTGAGGAAAGTTCAGTGTCTGCATGCAGTGGGAGGAGATACGGAATGTTTGGATGCATTTTAGGCAGCCATGACCCAGGAAGGATCTCTAACAGCCATCTGAGGAGTGGCCAGTGAAGTTATCACTAGGCTGTAATGTAAACACTGCATTTTCTCTGAAAAGACAGTGTTTACAACAAAAAGCCTGAAGGTAATTATTCTACTCACCAGAACAAATTCAATAAGCTGTAGTTGTTCTGGTGACTAAAGTGTCCTTTGAACTACTAAATCACTCTGTATGGGACTTTGGCAGTTTGTTTGCTTGATTTCCCTGGTTTTCTGACCTCGGCTTGTCCTGACTATGCTTTGTTAGCTGCCTGTAGCGACCTATTGGCTTCTTTTAACGACTACTCTGACTTCTGGATTCTTCCTTACCTTGGCCTGTCCCTGTTTACGCTGGCCATTCTAACAACTCAAAGTACTGCATTTGTAGTACTTGAAATGTGACCTCCCCAAAAAAAGAAACTTTAATCACAAGGTTAATGCTTTGATTAGCACTGAAAAGGTTAATAAAATTGCTTATTTATTAATTTTTTTTAAACTTAATTATGCCATTTGTTATACTCTGGGTTGCCTACTTTTGAAAATGGTATGCCATAACGGTGGAAATGTTATTACCCAGGATGCCATACTCTCTGTAAAAGGCGAGACAGGCCCAGAAAATCACTTTGTCAAACTTCTAACTTTGAAATGGACATCTAATATTTTTGTCCCTGTGACTTCCCCCCCAAAAAACAGAAAATATGGTACATGGAGGTACTGTTATATTCAGGAGACAATGTTAAATAAAAATAGTGAGGCTTTGTTGCAATAACTCGTATTAGGAATATGTAATGTCCTGTGAAAAGTAAGTTCATGTGTGTGAAAAAGCACAAATAAAACAATAACCGCTATGTTCCCTAGACCAAACATCTCAAATTATGCCATTTGGAATGCTCTGGGTTGTCTACTTTTGAAAATGGTATGCCATAATAGTGGAAATGTTATTACCCAGGCTGCCATGCTCTCTCAAAGGTGAGATAGGCCCAGAAAATCACTTTGCCAAATTTCATTGTGTAAACACATAAATGGATATAAAAGAGAATGGTATAGGCTATATACCAACAAGTGGTGCGCTATTACAATATGAATAATAAAGGGGTACACTCGCCCCTTTGATACAGTGACAATCTGGAAGTATACGCTTGAGTATGCATACAAAGGGAAATAAAAGGAAAAACAATATATAGTGCAGATGGTTTTCAAATGAAGATGAGTGATAATAGAAAATGATTAAACCACTCACATGGACTGGAGCCTATATGATATTGGCTCCGTAAGTAAATCCTTTTTGCTTTTTTGGCAGCAACACACCCCTTGTCCCGAATGATATTCCTCCAGGGATATAGAACAAGAAAGAGACAAACCAGCTTTGTAGTATTGTATGAAAACGTAAATATAGTATTGGTGGTAATAGTTGTGCTCACCTTTAACAGAGCCCTGGATTCCCGGCTCTGAGGTTGATTGACAGTGTGCTGCTTTTATTGGGATCGCACTCCCCAAATGTGATTCCTGATGGCTAGGAAGGACTTTTTGGACTAATAAGTATAAATTATTAAAAGTAATTTATTGGTAATAAATTAAAACAGAATTAGTACTTCATCTATAAAATAAAAAAAGTCTGAATAGAAGAGTCCAAATGTAAAGTCCAAAATTCAGCTAAACGCGTTTCACTCTATGAGCTTCCTCAGTAGCTGTGTAGTAGCCTCAGGGATCTTCTGCTTTATATATGTTCCAGAGTTCATATGGGTCCTCCCTTTTGGGGTCACATGATGTACAATTTACCAATCATAAAGTCAAGTTCTTTCTCTTTATTATGTGTAATAGTGACACCTGTAGTGGAGGAGCCCCCATTTGATAATAATACTGTCAATCATTAAGAAACTTAATTGAACGAAAATCATTGGTGATTCAGTGATGTCATATTGCTAGACATCCAATGGGGTAAGTGGTTGGCGGAAGTGACGACACGGATATTGCCGCCCGCCAATTCTGCCCTCCACCGCCATCACGAGGTAGTATATATGCTTGAATAATGGTTGATAGTCAGGCATGTCACTCCCTAATGAAGGAAGTGGCGCGGCATAATGGGCCGCATGTCACAGCCTCCTATGTATAATATCCAGATTACTCCCATGTATACATGGGAGGGTCCAGGCGCCAGTCGGGGGAGTCGTTTCACAATTGTCACAGACAGGAAACTGTGCATTGGAATAACGATCCCTCCTGAACAGCAAAAAAGGGGGAACCCCTGTTTAGGAGAAATAAACATGGGGAAAATGTTACTTGAACACACTAACATTACACTAGTGGGTACAACTTACATAAGTCTTCCCATCCGGTCCGCGGTTAGCGGAAAAAACGTAACGTGCGATCCCGTTTGTCAAAAATGCCCTCTACATGAGTGGGCTGGAATAAAAAGTATTAATAATGTAAAGTATAATATCTGGGGAAATAACAAATGAGGAAATTTGGATGCTAATAAAAGAGGATATAATAAGAGACATAGATATTAAAGGAGGTGTGCATGCTACTAAGGGGGGGTGGCTGCGATAACATCACAGTTAGGCACTGTGTGTCAGCCCAAACTCCTCCTAATTGCATATGTGTTACAAAAACTCCATCCTGAAGATGGGCATTAAAAGGGGGGAAAAAGGAAATGATGAGTGACATTGCCTGAGTAGCACGCCATATAGGGTTATCCAACTGGGATTATGATTAGCAAATTGGAAATTAGGGTTATCCAACAAATTAGCAAATTGGAGGCCTGAGTAGCACGCCATATAGGGTTATCCAACTGGGATTATGAAATTAGCAAATTGGAGGCCTGAGTAGCACGCCATATAGGGTTATCCAACTGGGATTATGAAATTAGCAAATTGGAGGCCTGAGTAGCACGCCATATAGGGTTATCCAACTGGGATTATGAAATTAGCAAATTGAGGCCTGAGTAGCACGCCATATAGGGTTATCCAACTGGGATTATGAAATTAGCAAATTGGAGGCCTGAGTAGCACGCCATATAGGGTTATCCAACTGGGATTATGAAATTAGCAAATTGGAGGCCTGAGTAGCACGCCATATAGGGTTATCCAACTGGGATTATGAAATTAGCAAATTGGAGGCCTGAGTAGCACGCCATATAGGGTTATCCAACTGGGATTATGAAATTAGCAATTTAGCAAATGGATAAGACATATATATGTCCTTGTAACTTTCCAAAACCCCATAAAACCTATACATGGCATGTACCGTTTTGCTTGTGAGACATCACTGAACAGAACTAGGAGTGTTTCAAAGCCGTAAAATATATGCTGACAATAATATTATCAGTGAAAGTACAGTTTTTATGTAAAAAATAAATCTGAACACTAAATTTAAAAGGTTTGTGCCCAAGTGGCTACTACAAAAGACTGGGCATACTCCATTTTGAATAGCCTGGGATGTCTACTCTTTCAAATGGTATACCATGATGGGGTTAATTTTCATTTCTGGGCTGCCATACGGTCTCAAAGGCAACATAAACACCGCAAACTAATCTGACAGATTTCTACGTAGAAAAATAATTTAATGGACATGTCGTATATTTGACCCTGTAACTTTCCAAAACCCCATAAAACCTGTACATTGGGGGTACTGCTTTACTCGTGAGACATTTCTGAATACAAATATGTGTATTTTATTACAGTAAAAGCAAACAGTATTCTGACATTAACAGTCAATAATGCCAAGCGGAACTTGAAAAATTAAATTTCTTAATTTATTTTACTTTTTTAGATTTTATTCATATAAAATGGAGTTCCATATATGAATGTTTGATATGAAATGAAAGCTCTGTTTCTCCTGAACAAAATGATATATAATATGTGTGGGTGCGCTTAGTATGAAAGAGGTAAATTATTGTTGAACAGACATAGAGCCAAATTCCGTGGTTTGTTTACGTTTCATTTTGATCACAACGGGTACATTTGGCTCAGTCCTTAAGAGGCTAAAGGCGCGACTCTGCTAAAAGACGTTGGATGTCCTCGCTTTTTACATGGGGACATTCAGTGTCCTCTAAATCCCCATAGGAAAGTACTGAGCGCATGTGCATTAGGTTCCCCACGTTGTGGGCGGCAAGTAAGTGACTAAAAGTCTTTGTAGTGGTAATGATGCTGTAGTGGTAATGGTGCTTAGAATGTCATGGTTCCCATTCACATTTGGTAATATAAAGGGAGCCTTGCTGCCACCTAGTGGTGACCCAGGAGTACAAATATTACTGTGACATGAAAAATTGATGCAATTCACTAACGGTTAGTGACTAACCCATCAACTGTGGGATATGAGTGTGACCCACCATGTACTAAAAGGGTTAATCAGCATAGGGACCTTACAATATATGAAAAGATATATTCAGTTCTAGATGGTCCTCTTATCCTGAATATAATCACCAGATGATACTTCAGTGTCAAACATAGAATGGACATTGTAAAGCGATCATGGTGCTTGGAGTATGTTATGAAATGGTGCACATACTGAGTTTAAGATGTAAATCCACCTCTGGTTGCTTCATTGGGGCACAATAAGCCAAAACAGAACAAGAGTTCTGGTCTAGCTAATGGCAATGCTTCATGCAGGTTACAGGTGTCCAGTGGCACCACAGCCTCCCTCTGTGCTTCCCAATTCCTCCCCTTAGCCTGTCCCTCCCCTGTCAGCAGAGGAGGATCGTGCTGAGGGGAGAACTTGGCCTCAGTGCTTGAACGTAGGTAAGTTTAGGCATTTTTTGATTTTTTTTTTGGGGTGGGAGGATCAGGATAGGGACAGTTACTGTAACCAAAACCAGTGTTTTTTCAAACCCTTTAATCCTTATTACCAACAGAGGTGTTACCTCTGCTATCTGCTGAGATTGTTATGAACCACGAAACCTTAAAATTCAAGAATATATTATACAATGAAGTACTTTTTGGGTTGGTAGGACTGAATTACTTAAATACGTGCATGTTTTCATTTTTTAAAATGCAATCCCCCATTTCATTGTTCTTTGACCGTACATTCCTGGGCATTGTGGCAGACCACAAGTGCACCTGGTTGCTCAACCTGGCCACAAAGCACAGAATGCAGACAGGTAGGGCAATGTCGTCAGTGAGCTCTGCTTGTCCTGTGCATGGCTCTCTGCATGCTAGTTACAGGAATACATGTAGTATGCACGGAAATGCTCACACAGCAGCGATGGGTATGTGCCAAGCACTGACTAGTGCCCACTTTGGTACTGCAGTCTTTCAACAAGGCCCAACACAGTTCTACATGATCCATAAAATCCATTCTCTAACAAGATTTTGTTTTTAAAAACATAATTTATTTGAAACATTGGATGCTAAGCAAACACAATCGCATATAATACAGCAAATATTCTGGGTTTAGATTGTTCTTAACAAATACAATTTTGTAAATTTACATAATTTTCCTTTTTCCATTATTTGTTAATTCATAATAGAAATGTATAATTTTTCAGAAATTGCATCTTATCTTGCAATCTGCCTGACATATTACCATAAAAGCAGAAACACTATTTTTGTTAAATACAGTAGGTGAGACAAAATAGATCAATGAAAATGGCCTAATACCCTGTTTATGGATATTTTGAATTCAATCATGGGGTTGCAGTTCCTTACAAACTGAACCACAATATAAAAATATGTTTTGAGGTATAGTACCCACATACATCAAGTACAGTTGTACCAAACACCAGTAGAGTGCAGGATACTATTGGCTGCTATTGCAGCTGCAAGGAATCTGTATAAAAGCTCAGAGACCTCCCTCCTTCCTACTCAGGGACGCTGTATCAAATCCATGATGACTAACCTTTAAAGAGACTTCCAGAGTGAAGGGGAAGGCATGTCAAACTGACATTTTCAACTCTTTGTTGAGAACAAAGCATTAGAGTGAAACCCTGGTAGAGAAATGTGTTTCTGTGCAGGGTGAAACCAATTTTGGATCGAAAGGCAGATTAAGTGTGGCTCGTGGGATACATTTTTTTTCACATTTAGCACATCTTGTAGAAGTGGTTGAAAGGTTTGACATTGCTGGTTTACACCAAGACAAAGGCTTTTTGTACATATTTTATTATAAAAGTAAAATTACTTAATCTGTAGAAATCCAGTTTAACTTGTGAAGTTTCATGGTAGGTTAAGCAGAGCCTTGACTTGTTGGTACTAATGGCTGCTGGGAGTGGCCGACTCCAAACATTGGTTCAAGGACTTTTATTCCAGGCTAGCACTGAAGGCTATATTCCAGTTTCCTGAACCTTGATAAAGCTTTGGAAGAATCTAAATGGAACCTTCAGTACTGGTCTGGAAAAAAATATTGTTGGCCTTTTATTCATTGAAGATATAGATCCCAGGCACTATCAAAGCAGGATGGAGCCTGGATGGAATGGGACTTTGCCAGCATGTAGCCAGACTCTTAATATCCCACAATAACACTAAGAAGAGGCACTGTAACTCTTTGCCCCATTTCCCATGTGGAAAATTATGATTTCTGGTGGAAAAAGGCTAGTCTTTAGCACTCAGCCTGGTCTGAATCCATGTTTTCATCAGATGGCTCGCTAACAGTGATTAGCAAAGGGGATGACTTGGGCTGCTCCATCTTCTTCTGTTTCTCCGAGGCTTGCAGTCGGCGAGGCACCTTTAGGAGAAGCCTTGGAGTAGGTGGCTCGCTGCCTCTACTTTCCTTCTCATCTTCTGTTGTCTCCTCCTCGTCGATGCGTCTTACAAAGTCTGTATCTTGATCAACGTAGCGGGAGTTAGGGTTGGGAGATGCATAACCTTCTCCTTTAAATCGGACGACGGGGTGAGCCCGCGCCCCACGACCCATGAAGTTTTTCATGCTAACAGCAGGTGATGGTGCAGAGGAGAGGAAACGACTGAGCATCGGAGTACGAGCACGGGGCATGCTTGGGGTGTAAGGTACCTGTTCTGAGTCTCCTACGTAGCTGAAACATAAAATACATGGTTTAGTACGATACAAGGTTCTGACAAACCAACTGACAGAGATATCAGTGTCCACCAAAGTTTAATGTGGAAGATTGATAAAAGTGTTAGGAAAATAAATTTGGGCAATCTCTCTATAAGTGTTTGTGCACAGGCCATTAGCTTCAATGACAGTAGCCCCAGCCCCCAGTGACAAATGCCATTCCATCATTGATACATGCCAATGACTGGGAATGATCTCAGTTTAAATCAAGGGCCACACAGAGCCATATAAATATCTCCTGCAACCTCACATAACAGCCATGTGAGGTTTAAAAAAACCCTTTATTTTGTAATGCTGGAATGCTTTGAAGACTATTTAGATTATCAGTCCTCCTGCTGCCTTAGATATAAGGTTAACTTACCTGAAATCAAGTGGTGAGAGAGTCTCTCACTAGAAGAACGTTACTACTGATGATCTAGCAGCCAATACAGATACAATGGACACAGGACACATCTTCACCTGCTGTGTCTGCAATGCATCTCATAGAAAAGCATTGAATCCACAATTTTCTATGATAAGTTTGTGCTGGGGCACACAGCGATTTGGAAAAACACTAACGGCAGGGAGGGTGCAACCTAGACATTTTATAAAAGTTATGATTTTTCTGGAAAAATATAAAGAGAGGACGCTCTTTGCCCCTAAAACATGTTAGCTGAAGTTCTTTAGGGGTTTGGAGAGATCCTATAAGTTTAATCCACACCATCAGGAGGAGCGTGCTTTCATGCTATTGGTGGGGGTTTTTTTTGTTTGTTTTTTGAGAAGGGAAAGTAAATACATGAAATTAAGTGGCAGAAAACTCTCCTACCGCATATCGAAAGCAGAACCCATAAATGATGGTTTGAGGGTCTCGGCAGCTGTAGCAATAGTATAAGGTGGAGCAGCATTCTGGTCATCCCAATACTTGTCCTTCTCCATCGGAGGCAGATTTTGATACATATCATCCACAGACAATAAGGAAACCTGCAAGGAAAGCATGTGGCATCAAATCACAGGACCAAGCTAGAAGCAACCTATCGCAATGCTATAAAAGGTTATCATTGGCCATGGTTAGTGTGCTACTACGATGGTCATACTTTATGTCAGGATTATTCACTAAACATCAGATATTGTCAGATTGGACAAAACCGATGAAAATTACTGCATTTTTATATTTACTAAAAGCTAAAAGTGGTCAGAATTTGGTCGGTCTGACTGATTCTGTAACATTGGTTCAGATGATTTCAGAAAATCTGTGATTTTCACATCCAAACCAATTTACAGTACTGGAATCGGAGATTTCTCAACCACCTTATGGCGGCCGATGATAAACAGAATGAATCCAGCAGGATGTCCCTTCGCAAATGATCATTCAGTGGCTTTTTGGCAAGTGAATTGATCATTTTAAGAACTACATGTCCACCACATGTCCACTCGCGGTGCTAGCAGCCAGTGGGTAAACAGTTACAAACCCTTGGCGCTGCCGCAATATTTATTTAGTGGTTGGACAGCGCTTGTTAATGGGCCGCCACATGAAAAAAGTTAATAAATCAAAATCCTATTGGGGTCAATAATTATTACAATAATGGAGTGTAATGTACCTCCCTATGTCAGGTATGCATTTGTTACCTGCCATAGGGGGTGCACACCGTGTGCACTATATTTTATGTTTTGTTTTTATATCTAAGTCAAGGATTTTACCCACCCATAGAACGAAAGAAGTCTGCACCTATATCCCAAGAGTGGGGATTATTCCACTCCTAGCCATAAGCAAGGAGCCATTAGAGGGCTCTAATAAATGTGAGTGTGCATTTTTATACTATTTAATTCGGGATTATTCTAGCTTTAGCGACTGAATAATCTAAATTTTATTAAAGACAGGAGGCGAATATTTGCTTAACCTTCTTTACTGAACCTCCCAGCAGCAAAGAAACAGTTAACATAAGTGAGAAAAAAATCAACCAATCAGGACACATATTAGAACATAACAGTCTTTCAGGCTCCTCTCAAATCCTCTTTCTGATGCAGCCGATCATAAGTGTAGTCAACCGTGTAAACCGGAGTAAGTCATCAACCATGTAAACCGGAAAAAACGCAGTCGAGATTAGAGACCAAGGGAACGTAGTCTTCGTGGTTCATGTAGAGAAACTTCACACTAAAAAACAGAGAAAGATCGTGAAAGTATGGGTACTTGGACTGGGTGTCCGCAAGATATCTATATACACAGATCCACCCCCTGGATATTATGAGTATAACTATTGCAAATTTCTAAAATAGTCAGAAAACCAGGCAGATGAATAAGCACCTAATCAGAATAAATGGGAACAAAACAGTTAGACATATATAAGTCTATACAAGGAAAACTTGAAAAATTTTATGGATACATGCGACTTGATAAAAGAAAAAACTGGGATGGGAGATAAATAGGGTGGGAAAATATTCGCCTCCTGTCTTTAATAAAATTTAGATTATTCAGTCGCTAAAGCTAGAATAATCCTGAATTTTATGGCAAGACAGGAGGCTTCATATTTGCTGTTTTAAAGCGTGGAAACCAAAGAGTAGGAAGCATGGGACGATTGTTGAAAATAGAAGGTACGGAAGGTAGACTCTCGAGACCAGTCAGCGCATTTTAGGATGTCTGCGAGGGATCCCCCGGCCATAAAGGCGGAGGATGCAGCCGCACCTCTGACAGAATGAGCTCCAAAAGAGGAGTCTATGCCCGCTAAACCTAGAAGCCATTTAATCCAGCGGGCAATCGTGGGACAAGACACTGGTTTGTGTGGTCGCACATACAAGATAAACAGGGGGCCCGTAGGGGTACGTAGAGGTGATGTAGAGACGACGTACTGTTGAACACAACGAGCAACGCAGAGCGACGGTCTGTCAGAAAAATAAGGGTAAGTAATTGTTAAAGAATTAGTTTTAGTTCGGCGAGAAATGTTAAAACGTACACCCTGGGGCGTGAAATCAATAGCATGAAAGTCAAATGCCTGAATATCAGACACTCTCCTAAAAGAAACCAAACAGAGAAGAAGAGCTAATTTGGCCGACAGTTGTCGTAAAGGGAGCGCTTCATTGGGTGGCCAAGTCTCCAGGAAGGACAAAACAAGAGCAACATCCCAAAAATGTGAATATTTTGGGGCAGGAGGTCGAGCAAGACGAATGCCACGCAACAGTCTACAGATGGAGGGGTGTTTACCTATCGCTGTATTATCAACGGGGCCAAGAGCTGCCGAGATTGCTGAATGAAAGACGTTAATGGATCTGTAGGATTTACCCTGATCAAAAAGAGAGGACAGAAAGTTCATAACATTAATCAAAGAAGTTGAAAACCCCTTTCCAAACACCAGCGATACCAAACTCGCCAGGCTGAGAGGTAAGAGCGTCTAGTCCCGGGGGCCCATGAGTCCCATAAGAGTGCTCTAGCAGACTCCGAAAGTCCTGTGGCATCCCAGGATCCCCTGAAACAGTCCAGGCCACTAGCTGGAGATGACCCTGCAACGCCAGAGGGTGAAAATTGCCTGCAGGATCTTTGAGAAGATCGTGTGTGACAGGTAGCAGTAGTGGATAATTCACCGACATTTCTAAGAGATTGGGGAACCATGGTTGGGTACGCCACAAAGGGGTCAGCAGTGTTATTGTGGCCCCCTGAGTCCTGAGATGATGGAGAGTGCGAAGGATCATGGAGAACGGGGGAAAGGCATAAGCTCCGGTCATTGGCCAAGCTTGAAGGAAGGCGTCTACTGCCAGAGACGTCGGATCCGGCAACCAACTGAAAAATGCGTCTGTCGATTCAGACGAGACGCAAACAGGTCGAGGCTGAAAGGACCCCGAAGAAGATGGAGACGGTAAAAAACGTGTGGGTCTAATTGCCAGTCGCTGGAGTCTCTCCAGTGTCGAGAGAACCAATCTGCGACTAAGTTGTCGGAACCTGGCAGATACTCCGCTCGAAGGGAGATGTTCCTGTCTAGGCAAAATTTATACAGTTCTTTTGTGAGGTCTGAGAGCATTTTGGAACGGGATCCCCCTAAACGATTCACGTATTGAACAGCTGAGATGTTGTCCATTCTCAGTACTAGGGAACAATTGTAGGAGTCCTTCGCAAAACTGCGAATGGCAAAGGACCCGGCAATCAACTCGAGGCAATTGATGTGCAATGCCCGTTCTGATGGGGACCAAGGACCTCCGGTAGAGAGATTTGCGCATGATGCACCCCAGCCCAGAAGACTGGCATCCGATTCTAGGATGTAATCTGGCTGTGATCCGAAGATCGCTTTCCCATTCCATGCATCCATATGGTGTAGCCACCAGTTCAATTCGAGTCGGACTTCGTCTGTCAAGGAGATCAGTTGATCGTAAGACGCAGAGTGACGTAAGGAGCGAGTCTTCAGACGTTGCATTGCTCGGTAATGTAAAGGAGCTGGGAAGATCGCCTGAATTGAGGCGGAGAGCAGTCCGATTATGCGAGCTAAGTCGCGAAGACGGATAGCCGAAGAGGCTAGAATTTTCCTGATGTCTTTTTTGATGTTCTTGACCTTTACTGAAGGGAGTTGTAAGATCGCCAAAATTGAATCTATTTGGAATCCCAGGAATTGAACCACTTGAGTTGGGGTGAGGACGGATTTCTGGACATTGATCACGAACCCCAGGTTTTGTAACAGAGCTGTGGTCATATCCGTATAGAGGCGCAGAGTGTCTGGGTCTCGAGCCATAAGGAGGATATCGTCCAGATATATGATGGAGCGAATCCCTTGAGAGCGTAGTAAAGCCATGACCGGCTTCATCAGCTTGGTGAAACACCAAGGTGCGGAACAAAGTCCGAAGGGGAGGCATGTGAACTGCCATAAATCGTGATGCCAACGGAACTGTAGGAAACAGCGATGGGCCGGTGTTATAGGAACCGTGAGGTAAGCATCTGTCAAGTCTAAACGGGAGAACCAGTCTCCCTCGCAGAGTAGGTCTCGAAGGAGGTGGATACCCTCCATCTTGAAATGTTGGTAAACAATAAAATTGTTCAGTTCTTTCAGGTTGATAACTGGTCGAAAGTCCCCTGACTGTTTTCGGACCAGAAATATGTTGCTTATGAATCTGTGAGGAGACCGAGAACGTTCTATAGCGCCCTTGGCGACAAGATCGGCAGCGCAGCCTCTAAGGTCGCATTGTCCTCTTGAGACATGTGCAGAGGTGGAGGAGGAGACTCCTGTATAGGGTCGTTTGCAAAATCTATATGGAAACCAGATACAGTTTGAAGGATCCATGGATCCTGAGTTAAAAGTGACCACTGTGGGAAAAAAAGGGTTAACCGACCTGCAATAGGAACTTGAGAATAAGGAAAGTCTATTACCTGAAGCAGTGCGGCCCCGGAGGGAAGCATATCCACGTCCTCTGATGGAACGTCTAGAGGGAAAGAACTGCTTGTGGTAGAAACGGGTATTGCCCGAATTCCATGAGTCTGCTGGTTGAGGCCTGTAGCCCGTGAAGGCAGCTCTGCCAGTCGTTCGGCCTCTATAGCGACCAGCTCTACCGGAAAAACGCTGGGGTCTGAACACCCTGCGAAGGTTCCATTGTGCCTTGTTAAGGGAAGTAAACACGGATACGTGTTTATTCAGGTCTCGTATGAACCTGTCCCCAAATAATAAACCGTTAGCCTCTGGACCAAGTTCTTTGGTGCCTAGTTCTGCCAATTTGGCATCAATTTTATATAATACGGCTTTACGCCGTTCAACGGACATTGCCACATTGGCGTTGCCTAACAGGCATAACACCCTTTGTGCCCATTCACGCACCATGTGCGCGTCAAAATTGCCTCCTGCCAGTGTCTCATCAGCAATTATGAAAATCTGGATAAGCGGGCCCGCTATATCCATCAGCTTGTCCTGGGTGGCTTTTAAGCCAACTTCGATTCCCTTGCGGGGATCTTTACCCGTCTTAGTTAGAAAAGTGACCAGGAGTGGATCAAGCTCAGGGGTGACAGCCACTTTATCAGGGATTATAGGCCGTGGACACTCTGCTCTTAATTTGGCCCTAATCTCCTTTTCTAAAGGTTTGCGAAGCCATAATCTGCAATACTTTGCAATGTGATCAGGAGGTGTCCACTCCGCTGAACGAGGGTGTCTGATACAGCGTGGATCAAAAAGTGGACGCCCTTTGGTATCCAGTAGGATATCATCTTTATTAGAATCTAAATTAGAATTGGGCATGGGATCAGCGTCCTGAAAGGACTGATCTTGGGGTAGGAGGAAGGTTTCCGTAACAAATTCAGAAGAGGAAGGATCACGTGGAGGATCCTCATCTGAATAAGCATCGTAATCGTCCATCACTCGAAGGTGATAGTCAGAGGTTGAGCCCTTTAAGGGGTCAGCTTCTGTAGCCAAAGTAGGTTTGGTCTTAGACAATTTAGCCGTCTTCGCTGGGGCTTTGCCTTTGCCAGCAGAAGCACTGTCACCCTTCCATGGGCGCTTACGTGGGGCTTCGTCATGATCAGAGACTCTAGAATCACCAGAGACAGATAATGGTGAGATGGTGGCAGTAGTGGCTGTCTGATCACGAAACGCTGCTAGAGCCTTGGGAATAGAGTCTGCAATTGCAGCTTGAAGCCAGGCTTTTAGTTCTGCAGACATTGCAGGTTCTGTTTGATCAGACATGGTGACCAGTAAAAAATAATAGTGGGTTCACCACAGAAAATAGTATTCAAACAGGTATATTAACTACCTCTATATATTCTTATTTATCTTTTTTTTTTATTTTTTTATTTTTTTAATTTTTATATATATATATATATATATTTGTATTGTAATATTATGTTAATAATCAAGGCAACGTAAACTGGCAGGGGCTTTCTTCTGGGGTTCACCCAGACAAAAGTATTCAATCACTTTTTAAAAGAAACTCAGTGGGGTTCACCCACAATAATGGCAGTTAAAAACTGTCTGTATAATAGTGACAGGTGGTACCTGTCAAAATCAAACACATGGGGTTCACCCTATATTTAATATATATAATATGCTCAAAGATAAGGCAAGAGGGGGTCACCCTCATGAAAGAGGCAAGAGGGGGTCACCCTCTAATAGGCACATAGCTGTAATAAGAAAGGAAAAAGGCAGCTGCAATAAAACAAAATAAACAGTAATAAGTGACTGGTTCTTTAAACAAAAAACTGTAATAAAATAAAGAGCCACCAGAGGGCAATATACTTACATTTGACAGAGCTGCAAACAGCCGATCGGAGCTGAAGCAAAAAGCCGCAAAAAAACGGAACAGACCGAACGGAAGATGGCCGCCGGCAAGAAGAAGGCGGGAAAACTGCGCGCCTAACAATGAAGCGGCTAAAAGGGCGGCACAGAAAAGATTGCGGGCGTGAGTAAAAAATGGGCCGCGGCCACAGCAGTGGCGCGGCCCGACAGACCCAAGCACGGAGCAACGATCAGTGAGGCACAAAAAGCCCTCCCCCCCAAAAAAAATAATTAACAGGGATTAAAGAAAAACGGCAAAACAGGGAAAGACTAGGTTGACAAGGGAAAAAACAGGCAGCAATAAAGGGCTAGACAGCACAAAAAAAAAAAAAATGACCTCATGTAGTCAATTAGAGGGATAAATCAATTAAAGGAGGCAAAATATTAAATGAACAAATGTTAAATAATGTATGTATACTATAAACAAAATATACATATAGAGAGCTATAATTGGAATAGACTCACCTGGGAGGCAAGCAGCAAAGAAAGAGGAGTTGGGAGGAGCCTGAAAGACTGTTATGTTCTAATATGTATCCTGATTGGTTGATTTTTTTCTCACTTATGTTAACTATTTCTTTGCTGCTGGGAGGTTCAGTAAAGAAGGTTAAGCAAATATGAAGCCTCCTGTCTTGCCATAAAATTTTTGGCTTCCTGACATATTGCACTATTTTTTGCTCTTGTGTTTATGTTACATATGCAAACCTGATTTGGTCGGACCAAGATTTCATCATTATATCCATAGGTGGGGATTGTACTGCCAAGGTGCTACATCTAGAGCTATGAGATAGCTATGAGATAGTAAGTGTATTTCCTTGTTTTTAATTTGGAAATTTGACAATTTGACTCCCTATCAACGACCAGACAAGAGAGACTCTGGTTTGGGGGTAATAGCTGCCTTTTGCATTTGGACATTGTAAGCGCTAGAAACCTCTTTTTTTATGTGTGTATAAATGCAGGTATTTTAGATTAGGATTGGTACTGGTATATGTGACGTGGATTTAATCAGGGGTGCCTCTGCTCCCCTCTGCTATTTAACATTCAGTCCCGCGCTCCAGACTTTGGAAGTTGCACTTTACAGAGCCTTTCAAAAGGGTAAGTTCTTAAAATACTTTGTTTGATTACTCCAACAAAAACCCTGTTCGTGATTAACCCCTTAGTGACCAGACCACTTTTCAATTTTCTTACCGTTTCTTACCGTTTGGGACCAGGGCTGTTTTTACATTTCTACTGTGTTTGTGTTTAGCTGTAATTTTCCTCTTACTCATTTACTGTACCCACACATATTATATATCGTATTTGTCCCCATTAAATGGCCTTTCTAAAGATACCATTATTTTCATCATATCATATTATTTACTATAAAACAAATTATAAAATATGATGAAATTCTTTTTAAAATCACACTTTTTTGAACTTTGATCCCCAAAATCTGTTATGCATCTACAACTGCCAAAAGATATCCATGCTAAATAGTTTCTAAATTTTGTCCTGAGTTTAGAAATACCCAATGTTGGCAAGTTCTTAGATTTTTTTTGTGGAAAGTTATAGGGCAATAAGTACAAGTAGCACTTTGCTATTTCCAAACCATTTTGTTCAAAATGAACACAAGTTGCATTGTAACACTAATATCTGTCAGGGATCCCTGAATAACCCTTCACATGTATATATTTTTTAAAAGAAGACAACCCAAGGAATTAAACTTGGGGTATTTTGACTCTTTTCATGCAACCATTTTACCACCAATCTATGCCAAATTTAAAAAAAATAATAACAATTGGTGATTTTTTTGACACACATAGCAATTTAAGAATACATGTACGGAGACCTTTAAGGGTTACTGCCAAAGAACACAATATGTGTTCAGCAACATCTCCTGAGTACAGTGATACCACCCATGTATAGGTGTGTCGGGTTCTCTGGGGGATAAAAGACCTTATTTGGAGGGTGCACATTCCAGTTTTCCAACTTGGAATTTTCTCAGCTGGTCATCATGCACACATGTCCTATTTGGGACATTTTTGAAGCTGGCCAGTGTAATTTACCCCCATCAAACCATATATTTTTAAAAAGTAGACACCCTCGGGTATTTCAAATGTTGGTATTTTAACACTTTCTTTCACAGTCTTTGTCAAACTTTTGGGTAGTAATTTTTTGTGTTATTTTTCTCTGACATTGTACTTTAGGCATGAATTATCAGTTCTTGTTATGTGTTGCTGACGAAGAACACCCCAATATGTGTTAAGCAATATCTCCCAAGTACAACACTGCCCCCAATGTATAGGTTTTATGTTTTTTTGCAAAACTTACAGGGGTCAAAAAGGTCCCCTTTTCCAGGTTTGCACATTCAAATTTGCCAGATTAGTTTGCTGGGCCTATGTTGCCTTTGAGACCGTAAGGCAGCCCAGGAATGAAAAAAAAAACATCATGGGATGCCAAGAAGACAATTCAGGGTATTCAAAATGAGGTATGTCCAGTCTTTTTAGTAGCCACTTAGCCAGAAATGCTGGCCAAAATTAGTGTTTTTATTTGTTTTTTTTACATTTTTTTACACAAAAACTGCACTTTTACTGGTGACTTCATAAGTTTTACTATTTTAAACACTCATATTTGTGTTCAGCGAAGTCTCCCAAGTATAACAACATGTACAGGTTTTATGGTGTTTTGGAAAGTTACAGGGTCAATACAGAGCTTGCCCGATCTTGTTTGCGAGATTGGTTTGCTGGGTCTGTGCTGCATTTTGAGACCATATGGTAGCCCAGGAATGTGAAATAACCACATAATGGCATACCATTTTTAAATGTAGACAACCCAGGGTATTCAAAATGTGGTATGTCCAGTCTTATGTAGTAGCCACTTACTCACAAACGCTGGCCAAAGTTAGCGTTTTTATTTGTTTTTTATAAAAAATTTTTTGCAATTTATATTATATATATGTACACACACACACACATTTTTATTTTCTATATATGTATAATTTATTATAATTAAAGCATTTTATAATATATTATACATATATAATGCATGTATATGATTTCATTATAAATGTATTTTAAGATATATATGTATATATCTCAAAGTACACTTATAATGAAATCATATATATGCATTATATATATATATATATATATATTATATTATAAAATGCTTTCATTATTTTATAATATATGATACAAATATAATATATGTATAACATATTTATTTATTTATTTTTACTTTATAACAGTCTGGGGGACTCAGTACGTCCATAGTTGTTAAGGAGATATACATAGAATGTAATAGTATATATATATATATATATATATATATATATATATATGTGTATATATATTAATATCAAAATACAGTTAAAATAAAATTACATATATATATATATATATATCATTTTTGTAAAAATTTGTAAAAATTATTTTTACAGTCTTTTTATTTATTTTTAATTAATTATTATTTAATTTTTACAATAATATATACATATACAATATATATAGTTGTTATATATATATATATATATTATGTATATATACATGTGTAATTTTACTCTAAGTGTATTTTTAAATTAGTATATGTATATATTAATAAAAAATACACTTAGTATGATGTTATATATGATATACATAAACATAATATATATAGATATAATTTATCTATCTATATATCTTATATATACATATATATAAAAATATATAAATATTTTTTTTTAATTTATTACTTTTAATATTTTTTTTTAACTTTTATTAACTTTATTTTTACTTTTTCACCAGCAACTTCCTGTCAGTTCAGGCATCCCCCTGCTGGCAGCACTGTGGACACCTATTGTGTCACATGCCCCCGGGGGTCCTACAGTGCAGAGGGGGGACTGTCTGGGCTTAGTCTGCATTGGGGAAGGGGAGGGAGGGTAGAGGGTTAATTTCATAATTAATTTTTCTTTTTAATTATTATTATTTTATTTTAATTTTTTTTACTATTGCTGAGTGCCTCGACCCCTGATGGCTTCCGATGCTCTGCTCTACACTGCCGGGCACCACGTGCGGCAACCTGGAAGTGATCGCTCGGCAGTGTAGGGCATGGGGATTCTGGGGGGATGTGGAGGGATATTACACAACGCTCATTTTGGCAGTTTTGGTTAACGACCATTTTTTGGCTGATGTACCCTGTATGACCGCGGTCACTAAGGGGTTAATCCTTTCTGGCATGGCCCCCCCCCCCAAAAAAAAATTAACAAAGAAACAACATACCTGCGATCCCACGCGAAATCCAAGCTCTACCGATAGAGAGATTGTCCTCCGGTGAGATCTCATCCTCCCACTGCAGGGCGAAGAATGTCCCTGATAAGGAAAGGAAGCTTCTGGTGGCGGTGTTACATCTTCAGCAGCAAAATGGTCTACTTCTGTATTTGCAGTGTTTCAAACTGAAAATCTGCACATACAGACTCCAAACACCATGACCACTTCAAATCACCGAATGGTGCTTCGAGCTACTTTTTAATACATAAAACCCCAGCATGGCTTAGCCTGCTGCTGAATGAAGACAAACAGGTTCTGAAAAGTGATGATTTAATCCCTTTATTACCTTGATGATATTTATTAAAGTGATCTAAAAAGTGACGGGTTTCTCCATAGTAAATTCGGCCAGTTTTCATGGAAATTACCATTTTAGAGCAATGTTAAATTTAGAGTGGGAGAAAAAAAGAAAAGCTAACTTTTCTGTCGGAAAAAGTGTGACAAACATTGAAGTAAAGTAAATTGATAAAAGAAGCTATAGATGAAAAAAAAAACACAGATATCAATTTGACCAAAATTGATGCTAAAAATGAGACATAACATTTTCGGTGACACTTTGATAAATCTTTCCAAAAGTATCTATTCATATTGTAAATTGTCTTCTCTCCTCTCAGTCACTGACATAAGACGATTGCAAGCTCCCTAGGTTAGAATGCTAGAGAATATTACCTGCAGATTCCTGTCAATCAGGCGATTGGTCTCAAAATCATCATCGTCCTCACCAAATGGATTAATTATCTGCTCTGCAACCTGGAGGAAACACAAAGTTATTGTACACAGTGTCCCAAAAGGCCGTTAAGGGGACGCTGCAGGCTCGTGTTAACCCATTCTTTCCTTTTACATCAATAATGCATATAAAAAATATGTCAACAGGATCTGTATTTGCTGTGAAGCCCAGGATTTACAGCATCTGCAGTAAGCTCTACGCAGACCAGGACATGACTCCACCAAGATCTTCACATTTCTGTGGCAGTGCTGAGCTTATCCCATAACATTGCTGTCTGCTTGTTCTCTGATGCACAGTAAGCGTTTCTGGGAGTTGTTGAAAACCAACAGCTGAACTGCAACCGTTTCCCTAACCCCAACCCTACCCCTACCCCTGACCCTAACCGCAACCCTAATCCTACCCCTAACCTAAACCCTAATCCTACCCCTAACCTATACCCTAATCTGACCCCTAAACTAACCCCCAACCCTAACCCTACCCCTAACCTAAACCCTATCCCTAACCCTATTCTTAACCTAACCCCCAACCCTAACCCTACCCCAAAGCTAGCCCCAAACCCTAACCCTACTCCTAACCTAATCCCTAACCCTACCCCCAACCTAATCCCTACCCCTAATCCTTCCCCCAACCCTAAACCTACCCCTAACCATACCCCTAACCCCAACCCTAACTCTACCACTAACCTAACCCCTACTCCTAACCCTAACCTAATCCATAACCCTACCCCCAACCTAATCCCTACCCCTAACCCTTTCCCTAACCTTACCCCAACCCTAAACCTAGTAGGGTTAGGGTTGGGGTTAGGGGTATGGTTAGGGTTAGATTCCCATCACCATTCCCTCAATTTTCCATCAATTCGGTTCAGTTCGGCACTTCCAAAATTTGGTACTTAGTCAATTTGGTTTGGCACTTCAGAAATTCAGTACTTCGGCAATTCGGACATTTGGAAGCATCAGAATGCCCGAATTGCCAAAATTTTCCGCATTTAAATTCGGACCGAAATGAATTGCACATGTCTAAAATATACCCGAGTCAATAGAGATTTTTCCACTTATTGAGGTACAACAGAAATAGATGTGTTAAAAGTTAAACTTCATGGTCTGCAGTCTTTTTCTAACCTGTTTTACGATGTAAATAAGTAACAATAAAGCAACGGATAATTCAGAGCATTGACCCATAGAGTGAATGGCTAAGCTTGTTTGTCCGTGATTGGGAAGAGAGTTCAAGCCCTTCCTGGTTCTGTAGACATTACTATATCAGGATCAGGTTCTCAGGGATTAGCTCCAACACGGAATGAGATAGTTAAACTTCCCCGGTGTACACCAATAATATTCACCCAACAGACTGCTAAATATTGATGTTAATCTGTTTAATATAAATTACTGTCTTAGAAAACTGACCTTCAGCCACCCAAAGTAGGAGAAGAACTGGAGCAGGGTGAAGAGGGGCACGTACATATCTAAACTGTGCCCAGCGTGCTTCCGACTCGGATCCAGAAACTGTCTTCCAATCAAGCAAAATGCAAAGAACGAATATACTGCAATAGTGACCACCTGTAATAAGGAAACACAATAAGATTTTCAACAAGACACATTAACCCGCGGATTGCCAAAAGGGAGATTAAGACGGGAAAAGCATGATGGCAATAGTATTTATAGCAAGGATGGAATCTACATTTGTCCACACATACATTAGATGGATATTGGGCACGGCTACAGACACACAGAGAGGCTGTGGGGAAGAGACACACAAAGTGGCTGGGAGCGAAAGAGAAACAAAAAGGGGCTGGGGGAGAAAAAACACACGGATTGGGGAGAAAGACACACAAAGGGGCTGGGGGAGAAAGACACATAAAGGGGCTGGGGGAGAAAAAACACACAAAGGGGTTGGGGAGAAAGAGACACCCAAAGGGCTGGGAGCGAAAGAGAAACAAAAATGGGTGGGGGAGAAAAAACACACGGGTTGGGGAGAAAGACACACAAAGGGGCTGGGGAGAAAGACACACAAAGGGGCTGGGGAAGAAAGAGACACACAAAGAGGTTGGGGAGAAAGAGACACACAAAGGGGCTGGAAGGAAGAGACATACAGAGGGGCTGGGGGAAAGAGACACACAGAGGGGCTGTGGGAGAAAGAGACACACAAAGATGGCAATTTTTCTTTTTGAGCAGAGTATACAAGTAACTGGTCTTGCCTAAGGTGCAAAATAGCCTAGTACCAGCCCTGACTACAAGCATTTAATAGATGTTCTCACCTGTGTATACACGAGCGGCACACTGATCCAGTCATAGTGAAATAGCATGCTGCACTTTGCACGGTATTTATTCAGCTCCTGCAGAGAACAGTTAATATAAATGTGTGTGTGTGCTCGTATGTAGCAGTAATACAGTGTTGCTAAAAAATACACCAAAAAAGACATTCAATCAAAAACCACGAGGAAAATACATATTGTGATCCATTTAGATGCTGTGTCTTCCAGGCTGATCAAAGCATCCACAACCTGAAATTAAATTAATTTTACTATGGACTTTCACAAAACTCTCAGGAACAAAAAATATTTGAAAGAAAAGATATTTCTATAAACAAAGAGGAAGAAAAAGGGAGAGAAAATTGAGCCAACTTGTTCACTAGTACCTCCTAATGGGGGGTAACCCCTAGAGTTTAAATATATATAAGAGAGAGAGAGAGAGAGAAGCTGGAGGGAGTAGCGATGAAATATTTGGATAGGGTGGAATACCTAAAAAAAGTAATATATAGATAATTTAAAACGTCACTTTTAATATTGTCTTTTTAAAAAGCCGCAACATACGGACTGTTTAGCAAACAGATGATATCTTTTGGACTAATTGAACAATACGGAAGTATCTGAATTTCTACACACACAAAAAAAATAATTATTCCTAATCTATTGAAAACAATAGATTAGGAACAAATTGATCAGAAATTTTTCAGATCCATTTGTTTTCATTATTATTATTATTTTATTATTTATATAGTGCCAGCAAATCCCTCAGCTCTGTGAGGATAGCAAACTTGGGACTTATCTATTAAGCAACTGAAACAGAAAAAGGGTTTTTGTTTCTAAATTTTCACCTTTCAGCTGTTTAGTAGATAGCTCCTTAATTTGGGACCCTTAAAATGACAATCTCACAGAAAGGTACATTAGGGAGCTACCTACTAAACGGCTGCCTGAAGGATCATTTTTTTAAAAATGTCTTTTCTTAATTTTGATCTTTTAACTTTTAAAATATAGCTCCCTGTTGCTGTGTACCTCCGCCAATCACGCTTCCTAGTAATCACCGAATACCACTGTATCAGCACACCAAAAAACATTGCAGCCCCTTAGCCGCAGCAGCTTGGCTGGGGTCTCTCCTTCTCCACCCACCCTGGACCCAAGTCTTGGATCCAGATCCCAGTGAGTAGACCTCTCATTAAGAGAGTATAGCAATCAATAGAGTAGTACAGCCGTTCCCCCCACACATGAGCCGAGGCTTAATGCTGGGAGTAATCTGTTTTATTCAGGGCCCCACGCTGCCTTTTTTGCAAAAGCCCATGCAAGGGGTTTCTTACACAAAATCACAAGGTAGCCCCTGTACCTAAGAGAGTCAGGAACTGTACAAACTAAATTATATCCAGGTACAGAAAACACACAATTTACAGACACCCCAAAAGTACCCCCAAAATAGATGAAAACCTTACAAAAGTCACATCCCCGGATAGCCCCGGTCTGAGTGACCAACATATCCAAAAATCATCCAGATTGGTTCAGGGGTTCCAGTTTTCCATGGAAGTCACTTTTTGGACCGACCACACACGTGGCTTCTGCCCAAAATAGTTCCATTAGAAAAGTGTTAGCGGTCGGTCAATTTCGGTAGCATAAAACGAAAGAACTACTTAACGTAGTCTACATTTGAACCATGGGACTTGTTCCCCTCATCCAGACGAACGATTCCACCAAACAGCGTTCTTCTAGGATTTACAGAACCGAACACAGACTATGATGGAAGTCCAGCGGTGTTCGGGAGTTTCAGTGTCCAATTTTAGTTCCATTAACTCAACGACCAAACACTGCTGCCCGCGTACATGTGAACAAGATGGCCACCACCTCGTGGTCATTCATACGAACTGCAGCCACCCAGACGAACAACTAGAACACTGAGGTGTGAATTGTTACCAGGTGTCAATAGGGCTTAACAAGCACACGGGTGGTCCATGGTTTGTTCAAACAGTATAGGGAAATGGCATGAACAAAGTCTTTAGCAGGGCCCATAGTATTTAGGCAGGAGGCCAGCCAGCAGGCCCCTCCAGGAACACGTGGAAGAGGCATTTCTGCCACACTCCCTAATTTGCAATCCTGTGTATATCACATACATTCTATATACATGCAGCAAATTAGGGAACTATCTACTAAAAGATGAAAGATTCAAATTAAGAAAAAAGATTAGAAATAAATAAAATGCAAGTGTCACTTTAAGCCACCATAGTTGAAGAGTGTTAAGTCATCAAAGTTGATAGAGCATTAAGCCATCGCTGTTGTTAGAGTGGTAAAGCTCATGTGAGCAATCATTTAGTAATTTATTTATGAATTTGGCCTCGAAAGTCACTTTAAAACACAAACTGTGACCATCTAAATAGGGAAGAACTATAAAGACATTCATAAATCTATGAAATGTCACACACCCCTCCCTGTAATTAAATAATAAAGTAATTTCACACCTTACATTCCTTCCATAATACAAGTTTATCTATTACAACAGTCTCCTACTGCTGTACATTCTAACCCCCCACCTGCCCCTCCTATACATGCCAACCTACCCCCAGCCTGCCCACTGCTGTACATACTAAGCCCCCTCCTGCCCACTGTTGTACATACTAACCCCCCCTGCCCACTGCTGTACATACTAACCCCCCACCCGCCCACTGTTGTACATACTAACCCACCTGCCCACTGTTGTACATACTAACCCCCCTGCCCACTGTTGTACATACTAACCCCCACCCGCCCACTGTTGTACATACTAATCCCTACCTGCCCACTGTTGTACATACTAACCCCCACCTGCCCCTCCTATACATGCTAACCTACCCCAGCCTGCCCACTGTTGTACATATAACCCCCACCCCCCTCCTATACATGCTAACCACCCCAGCCTGCCCACTGCACACCCCCCCACCTGCCCACTGTTGTACATACTAACCCCCCCACCTGCCCCTCCTATACATGCTAACCTACCCCCAGCCTGCCCACCATGCTAACCCCCACCTGCCCACTGCTGTACATACTAACCCCCACCTGCAGCCCACCTGCCCTGCTGTACATACTAACCCCCACCTGCCCCTCCTATACATGCTAACCTACCCCCAGCCTGCCCACTGCTGTACATACTAACCCCACCCGCCCACTGCTGTACATACTAACCCCCACCTGCCCCTCCTATACATAACCTACCCCAGCCTGCCCACTGCTGTACATACTAACCCCCACCCGCCCACTGTTGTACATACTAACCCCCCACCCGCCCACTGCTGTACATACTAACCCCCCACCTGCCCACTGCTTTACATACTAACCCCCCACCCGCCCACTGCTGTACATACTAACCCCCCACCTGCCCACTGCTTTACATACTAACCCCCCACCCGCCCACTGCTGTACATACTAACCCCCAACCTGCCCACTGCTGTACATACTAACCTCTCCCACCTCCACTGCTGAACATACTAACCTCCTGCTGCCCACTGCTGTACATACTAACCTCCACCCACCTGCCCACTGCTTTACATACTAAGTTAGTTTACCTGAAGCTGTCCCTTGCGGGTGCCGCCATCTCCTTCCAGCCAGTCCTCTTCAGCTCCTTGTGCTTTCAGCAACAGGAGCTGACATCACTGCCATAATCTCGCACATGCGCAAGAGTACAGCATTGAGGTACAGCAGGATCCTTCATAGGTATTGTACAGCGCTACGGAATCTGATGGTGCTATATAAATAATAAAATAATAAAATAATAATAATAATAAAATAATAATAGGTAGTGCCAGTTCCCTGCTCCAACCAGTGTCTAGAAAAGTCAGGTGTAGGAAAATACTGACACAAATGAAATACTGAGACAATAGTAACCCCTACTCTGTCTCAGTATATTTTTTGTCTGGGATGGATTTCACTGAAATTCCAACACATTCAGTCCAAGTATTGCATAAAGATTTTATCATTTTTAAATACTCAGACCAGCCCCTGGCCACACCCCCACTCACACCCCTAAAATGAAAATGTACATAATGACAAAAAGGGACACATCAGACAAACTATACAAAACGTCATTAGTGGCTAATAAGGATCCCACCAATAAAACATTTAAACCTTTAGGATTAATTAATCAATCAATTATTTATTACGTTTTAAAAAAAGACCAGAAATAAAATCTTCACTAAAAATGGTTAAAAGGATTTTGCCTCAAGCTCCCGACCCAACTTACATCCATTAGAAGTTTAAGTGCCACATCGTCTCGTACTCTCCCGTCTCTGCGTGCTTGCGCGATCATGTTGGTGAACCAGACACAGGGGATCCAGTATTTGTTATAGTCTGACGAAAGGCTCTCGAACTTCTTTAGCTCCTCATGGGTCATAAATCCTAATTTAGGAGAGACCTTGCAACCATCACTATACATAATGAAATAATGGCTCTTATCGCTCTTTCCATAAATTGCTCAGATTGTTTCATGTACAGCTGTTTTCTTATAAATCTATATTAAAGATTTAGCAATTTACATGAGACATTGCACACATTGTATCATTAATCGGCTTTATTATTTGTTTAGGAATCTGGTATTTAACGTAACAAATATATGTTTATTTGTTTTTACTCACTTCATATTTTCTGTTAAATTCCCATTCGATAGCTTCTGTACTACGGTTCTTTCCATCGGTCATGAATATCTACTAAGGTGAGTATTTCAAAGTGAATTCTAAGAAAATTTTAATTTCAAGGTCAAAATAGCCAAAACTGGAAAAATTCTCGAAGCCATCTATGATTTCAGTTTGGCTACTCTTTCATTAAAGGGACACTATAGTCACCTGAACAACTTTAGCTTAATGAAGCAGTTTTGGTGTATAGAACATGCCCCTGCAGCCTCACTGCTTAATCCTCTGCCATTTAGGAGCTAAATCCCTTTGTTTATGAACCCTAGTCCCACCTCCCTGCATGTGACTTGCACAGCCTTCCATAAACACTTCCTGTAAAGAGAGCCCTATTTAGGCTTTCTTTATTGCAAGTTCTGTTTAATTAAGATTTTCTTATCCCCTGCTGTGTTAATAGCTTGCTAGACCCTGCAAGAGCCTCCTGTATGTGATTAAAGTTCAATTTAGAGATTGAGATACAATTATTTAAGGTAAATTACATCTGTTTGAAAGTGAAACCAGTTTTTTTTTCATGCAGGCTCTGTCAATCATAGACAGGGGAGGTGTGGCTAGGGCTGCATAAACAGAAACAAAGTGATTTAACTCCTAAATGACAGTGAATTGAGCAGTGAAATTGCAGGGGAATGATCTAGACACTAAAACTGCTTTATTTAGCTAAAGTAATTTAGGTCACTATAGTGTTCCTTTAAATTTAAAACTGGAATTTTTCGTTTGAATTCACTTTGCAATGTTACTCCATATTCACCTCGGACAGTGGAAAGAGTTTTGTTTTGTCTTATTTCTTTTCTAACTTTGTTAGTTTAATGTTGTAGGCAATATTTCACATGAAAAGTGAGTCACAGATTGATTCTACTGTTGATGAACGGCTGACCAGGCTAAAGCAACGTAAATAAAGTCTGAGAACCACTGCATTGATCTGACCTGCGCTCCCAGGCCCACACTGAGCAAAAAAAGTTAATTATTATAACTTGTAAATCTCCAACATGTTCCATAGCGCAGATACCATGAAGCATTCGGCATCTCTCCCACCTGCTTCCACAATATGCTCCATAGTTGGGAACCGCTTTAGAACGCGGGTGCTGACGGACCTCAAGATGAGCACTGATGACAGATTGGCGAAGCGGATCAGGGTACGTCTGAGCAGGCGGCCCTTCTCATCGGCTCCATGCACGTTACTGGACACCACACACATCAGCTGGTCCGGGAGAGGGATGTTGGTGTACTGACCCCACCAACGGCTGATGATGAGATTGACGTAGAAACCCAACAGGAAGGATATTGGGATGAGATCCGTATACTTGTTACAGTACAGTGCAACCTCCTCAAAATGACGCTTTTGGTCTTCCGAAAGCATTAACCTGGAAGCAGGAACAGGAATTTATTAATCAGACTGGTGTTGGTTACAGCTGGAGAGGGCTGTGTGCAAGCAACTACTCCCATCACTCTCCGCCTGGCCTTAAATTTTCGATCTCATTATATCATGGAAGAAATGAAACTTACTTAGGAAGGCATGGATTAATAAAGTAAAAACAAAACTACTAGACTTAAGCTACACACCAAATAATTACTACGTCGTTTGAACTTCACACTGGTGGCAAGTTGCTAATCACATGGAGATTTGTCAGTAAATTTCATAATTGTGTAAATATATTAACCAATAAGAATCCATTTTATTAACATGATTTTTTTAAAATGTAAATCATACTGAATGTGCACATTTTTATCGCCTATGTTTTTACAATAGTGCAGTCATTTTCATTTTTTCTGGCGCATAGTTGCAGTTTTTTTAATTGCAGTTGATTAGTATGTATACCGTAAACATGAAACACACATCGTCTATAAGGATTATATTTGAAGTTAATAATAGCAAGGTGTCTAATTGTTTCCAGTTTTGATAATAGGCCTTGTATTTGCATTTCGATTTCTCAATTCTCGAAGTTCCTATTTCAATAAAATAAATAAATAAACGTGTGTGTCTCTTAGCAGGATAACACGCCTGAGACACGGGTATGAAAGCATTCGCTGGCAGTTGGATTGAAATCCCCAGAATACTCGGTGATGATGCCGATTCACATGAGAGAGTGTTTGAAGAATACGCCTTGCTTCTCACCTGTATGTCACACTGAGCAGGGAATATAGGGCGACAAAGACTAGGAATTCCTTGTACAGTAATTTATAAATGCTTCCTTTCCATCGGAACAGGAGCTTGGAGAATCCCCCAAATCGAGCATTGGCCACTTTCAACGTGTATGAAATGGTCATTTTGACTCCTGCTAGGGACAAGACCAAAAAAAAATAGTAGTTACCTGGAATAGCCTTCCAGTGGGAGCAGTAACAGCGATATAGAAAGGGTAGTAGATACCTGGAATAGCCTTCCAGTGGGAGCAGTAACAGTGATATAGAAAGGGTAGTAGATACCTGGAATAGCCTTCCAGTGGGAGCAGTAACAGTGATATAGAAAGGGTAGTAGATACCTGGAATAGCCTTCCAGTGGGAGCAGTAACAGTGATATAGAAAGGGTAGTAGATACCTGGAATAGCCTTCCAGTGGGAGCAGTAACAGTGATATAGAAAGGGTAGTAGATACCTGGAATAGCCTTCCAGTGGGAGCAGTAACAGTGATATAGAAAGGGTAGTAGATACCTGGAATAGCCTTCCAGTGGGAGCAGTAACAGTTATACAGAAAGGGTAGTAGATACCTGGAATAGCCTTCCAGTGGGAGCAGTAACAGTTATACAGAAAGGGTAGTGGATACCTGGAATAGCCTTCCAGTGGGAGCGGTAACAGTGATACAGAAAGGGTAGTGGATACCTGGAATAGCCTTCCAGTGGGAGCGGTAACAGTGATACAGAAAGGGTAGTAGATACCAGGAATAGCATTCCAGTGGGAGCAGTAACAGTGATATAGAAAGGGTAGTGGATACCTGGAATAGCCTTCCAGTGGGAGCAGTAACAGCGATATAGAAAGGGTAGTAGATACCTGGAATAGCATTCCAGTGGGAGCAGTAACAGTGATACAGAAAAGATAGTAGATACCTGGAATAGCCTTCCAGTGGGAGCAGTAACAGCGATATAGAAAGGGTAGTAGATATCTGGAATAGCCTTCCAGCGGAAGTAATAAAGGTTAGCAGTTGAGAAGTCAGGATATAGCACACTAGGCTGAGATTTAAAATCAGATAAACAAGCTGGTAAATTAACAATCATTATTTCTACTTAATATCTCAATCCATGACGGTAAATAAACAATATTACAATCATTTTAAAATAAAGTCATAATTAAATTATATCTCTCATTCCCTCACTCACTCTGGTACTCTCATTCCTTCCTTCACTCAGGTACTCTCGTTCCTTCACTCACTCAGGTACTCTCGTGCCCTTACTCTACTCACTCAGGTACTCTCATTCACTCACTCACTCAGGTACTCTCATTCCCTCACTCACTCAGGTACTTTCATTCCTTCACTTGCTCAGGTACTTTCATTCCTTCACTCGCTCAGGTACTCTCGTGCCCTTACTCTACTCACTCAGGTACTCTTATTCTCTCACTCACTCAGGTATTTTCATTTCCTCACTCACTCAGGTACTCTCATTCCTTCACTCACTCAGATACTCTCATTCTCTCACTCAGGTATTTTCATTTCCTCACTCTCTCAGGTACTCTCATTCCTTCACTCACTCAGATACTCTCATTCTCTCACTCAAGTATTTTCATTTCCTCACTCAGGTACTCTGTCACTCATTTCAGAACTCACTCTCAGACCGGGTTTACCTGTGTTGCTGCATGAAAGCTTTACTGAAAGGCAAGTCAATAAATTGGTGAATTGCGCCTTATATACGACGACCAGGGCTGCAATCAGTTGTGATTTACTGCCAGAGATCAAGGGTATATATTATTAAACCATGTGTACACACTGTATCTCTCTCCTGCTTCCCTTCCCTCTCTTACTACATTCTCTCTCTCTGTGTCTCTCATACAGAGTGATACCCCAGAGTTATTAATTCATAGATACACACACAGCACATGAAGAACAATGAAAGATGACATGTATGTAATGGTCCAGTGCCTGCCCTGCAATGCCTTCATTTGTTACTGCACTTACGACATATCGTCTGAAATTGTCTGATTTGGTCAAATTGTAAGAGTCCCAAATTCAAAATTCTTTGCAAACCGGAACAAACTGAAAATGAACTAAATCAGAATGATATCAAAGCAAATTGCTAAACAACTGAAACAGTAAAACTAGAGTGCTGTTTAGCAGATAGCTTCCTTATTTTGTATTCTGTTTTTATTATTTGTATTTTATCGAGTTTTGCATACAAAGGTATACATCCATGTCAGTGTGTGAAAGGAGATAAGGATAAATAAAAAAATAAAAGCAAGTCATTCGTTAAGCTAAGACAAAGCATTGGCGAATTAGTCAGTGGTAGTCAGCTGGCAAGTAGGATTAGTGAAGTGTCAGCAAGCCTGTCCCCCTGTCTGAATCAGCATCTAGAAAGTGTGTTCTTGGTGGGCTTGTTTTGGGTCAACGATGTGCCTTCTCCTTCTCTGTATGTCCCATCTTGGGTACTCCTTGGTGTTTCTCCTTGTGCATGTCGAACTTTCAGGTTTAGGCTCTGCATTAACATCTCAGGATCTTCATCCGAAGAGAATGTAATAATCTTGTCGCCTTGTGGGACCTGCAAGGCACCGTCGGCTCCCCAGCGGTAGCGGGCCGAGTGGTCCCTCAGCGTCTTAGCCACCGGAGCCAGTTTGCACTTCTCCACTAGTGCAGCAAACAGGATGTCGCTGAAGAGTGACACTGAGGTTCCCTCAAAGTGTATGTGTCCCAGCACTCTGGAGTGGCCCATAATTGCTGTATGCATAGTAATGTTTCTGGTGTCAATGATAGTGTCTCTGTGGGCTGCAACCGGGGCCGATGAACTGAAATACGAAAAATAATGAATTAAAATGAAACAAATATAATTTTTCTCACATTCACATCTCTAGTGAGCTTCTCGCTGAATTATTTTGGGAAATCTGAATGTTCAGACCTGCATATTAGATCTTTGTAAAGGAAGCACCATAAATCTTCACCTCTAAACCCTAAAACAGTCCAAAAATTAGAGGAAGATCTGCATGAACTCCAACTGCTCTGAACTACAACGCATATGGGCCCAACACAATGTGACACGAAAAATGGACATATCAAACCAAAGTATCAGCAGTGAAACGCGTTGGCAATGTGGCTCCTTTCGGATCTAGCGCCTTAACACTAATTTGCAGTCTATTACTTCAGTTGGTTGTTTGTTGAGTTTTGGATGAAATTTCCGTGAGTACCCGGCATTGGAACAGCTAACAGAATTAATTGATAATTCACAATTGGCCCTTTGTAGGGCATTACGTTTCTATAGGCACGGTGGGCATAAACCTAAACAATTCTGTTTAAGTGTCACTCCACTGCCCTAACCTCTGGAAACCTGCCTATAAAATCTTACACTTACCTGCTTGGTGGGACTAGTGGCATTTGCAATCCTAGGGAAATAGATTGCTTGTAATGTCCTAAATAATGATGACGTAGTTATTTTAGATACAAAATGTTATTTTGTTTCTCATAACACAGCACTAGAATGGGATTCTGCGTTAGACTTTCATAATATGCTATGCCGAACGTAGAGACAGTCAGTATAAGAATCAGCCATACTTCGCAGGAATCACGGCAATCAATGTGTAACTATCTTAGAAAATGTCAGATATAGTACAGCGCTATGGAATTTGCAGGCACTATATAAATAATAAAATAATATTAATAATAATAATATAGCAAATATCACCAGAGAGTGAGAGCTTTTTAAAACCAGTGTCTACTCACAAGTTAAAGATTTACTGTGACAGAAGCAAGCATCCATGCCATGGCCTTTCTGGAGAGGCTTGAAGGCCAGCCTCTTGTCCAAAGACTATGGACCTGCTCCGAAGAGCTCCTGAAAGGAGCTTGTGATAGGAGCAATTGAAAAGCAAACTATGCATTGTTAGTTGAGAACTCTGCAGCGCCTTCTGCCGGCTGAATGGATGTTTGTATATTTGCAGAATGCTGGTATGCAAATGAGGGAAACCAATTATGTGGTTAAATGAACATATTGTTACTTTTTAATTACATAGTTACATAGTTACATAGCTGAAAAGAGACTTGCGTCCATCAAGTTCAGCCTTCCTCACATATGTTTTTGCTGTTGATCCAAAAGAAGGCAAAAAACCCAGTCTGAAGCGCTTCCAATTTTGAAACAAACTAGGAAAAAATTCCTTCTTGACCCTAAAATAACAGTGAGATGTCTCCTTGGATCAAGCAGCTATTACCCCACTAATTAGAAATTATATCCCTGTATGTTATGTTTTTGTAAGTATTTATCCAATTTCAGTTTAAACATCTGTATGGACTCTGACAAAACCACCTTTTCAGGCAGAGAATTCCACATCCTTATTGCTCTTACTGTAAAAAACCTTTTCTTTGCCTTAGATGAAATCTCCTTTCTTCCAGCCTAAATGTGTGACCTCGTGTACTATGTATAGCCCTGTTTATTAATAAATTTCCAGATAATGGTTTGTACTTGCCCCCGAATATATATGTATAATGTTATCATATCCCCTCTCAGGCGCTGTTTTTCCAACCTATAGAGATTTACATTTTTTAACCTTTCTTCGTAACTAAAATGCTCCATTCCTTTTATGAATTTTGTAGCTCGTCTCTGCACTTTTTCTAGTGCCATAATATCTTTCTTTAGAACAGGTGCCCAAAATTGCACAGGAAATTCAAGGTGTGGTCTTACCAGTGGTTTATAAAGAGGCAAAATTATATTTTCATCTCGAGAATTTATTTCCCTATTTATACATGACAAAACCTTACTGGCCTTAGCAACTGCAGATTGACATTGCATATTGCTGCCTAATTTGTTGTCTATAACAATTCCCAATAAATGGAAAATGTTATTTGTATTATATAGTTCATGTAGTAATTATAGTCACTCATTCTTTAATGTTCCATATATTTGCAGTTTAAATGTTTTTCACCACATAAGGACTTGTTCCCAAAGGCTAATCCTTGTCCAAAACTAAAGAATGGTATGTTACTTTGGAACTGTGTGTCCTGTGTGGATATTTAGGGATCCCCGTCTTTGAACCTGTTGGCTGGCTGCACGATCCTTCTTGAGTGGACAAGGCAAAGAGAGCTAGGCCTAAGAGCCCCAATTGTCTTTGTTAATACAGGAGCTATCACAGCAAGTTTCGGCGACT